ATAACGTATACCCTGGAGATATCGAGGATGTGTTATCTTGTGATCATCATTTCTCTTTAAGAAAAAAGAGACATCCTCTCGGTCAGCTCCGAAACTCCGGGTTAGAATATTGATCTTCAGTAACCCATGCTTGTGGTAAGAGGTGACCAACGGGATCGGATGGTCACGCTCGCTGACTTGGTGGACACATGTCATCGTAACCCAGTTGCGTAGATGGATGCTCATGCTGTTGATCACTGGATTGCCTGATCCAGGCACAAGTTTTACCAGCAGATCATTACATCAAGTCAAGCATAATATAACCAAACACTGAATCCTCAGAAGATGTTATAGTGGCTGAACCTCCAAAGTGTCAAATAGCAAAATGTAACTTTTTCATAATTATTTTTCCATCCTCCCTGGACATGGACAACAAAACTACGTCACAAATATTGTCACTTGTCATCGGAAGTTGGCTCCTTCGTCTGTGCTCTAAAGAGCTAGTTTCTTCCCCTTATCTTCAGTAAGGTTGTAGTTTTACGAGCTGAAGAGTAAATCTGGTAAATCTGATTTTAAAACATCAGCGTTCTCTCTAGAAGAAACCTTTCTAACTCGGACAGATGCGTTTTTCATAAGTGTGTTAACTGTACATATTGTGTTTCTGCTCCAGGTGATAGGGCCACTTTCTCTCTCCATTCATTTATCCACAGAAGTGATACACTTTATTACGCCGTTCTGATACTGGATTTACTGTTTAATCACTATCTTAAGCTGCTCAGCTGTTAATCAACGGTATTATCCTGAATAACAATGTCATAAAGAACGTTGTCAGATGTAACATTAGTTAGTTTTGGGATTACACGTTCTCGGTGAACTGTACGGATTCTAGTACATGTCTGGATGAGCCCAGTCCATGGTTCGAACCCTCATTTTCAGAGTGAGGCACCTAATCGACCGCACACAAAGTCAGCGATCTAACCCACTCAGCCATCACAGCTTCCGCAAAAATGAAAGTCTCACAACTGGTAGTCCAGATCAAGTATCGGATGTAAGTGTAATCCCAAATATATAACTACTGTTACATGTGACAACTTTCAAAATGCCATTGCGTATTCATAGCTTTCGGGACCGCCACCGTGGTGTAGTGGTTAGAGCGTCCGCCCGGAGAGAGGAAGGTCGCGGGTTCGATCGCCGACCGCGTCATACCAAAAGACGTTAAAATATGGTACTTGTTGGTCCCTGCCTGGCTATCGGCATTACTGGGACTCGGAATCAGTATAATGTGTCTGAGTGGGGTATGCATGCTTCACTGCGGCATGGTATCTCAGTGGGCTAGCACTATTAAACCAGCTTAAATCTGGGCTAGTACAAGCAGCCGCACATACACATACACACGCATGCACGTCGTCATATGCGCGAAATACTCTCAAGCACGAAGTTAGACCCTCACCTCACCTAACCTAATAGCTTTCGGCCGTGCCAATTTACACTTGTCAGAGCGGTACGTGATATAGACTACTAGTGAACGTGGAGGCTGGCTATATATACAACAATGGGCCTTTTGTATGGAAGCAGTCTTAACACAACCACCCACCAGAAGACGGCGTCTCACCGAAAAAAGCTAGCTCCGTACGTGAGCAGAGTTCATTCCGAGACAACTCTGATTCCGATGGTCTGATATTGGTCAACCCGTAAAGATCCGGGTTAGAATATTGATCCTCAGTAACCCGTGCTTGTCGTAATAGGCGACTAGCGGGATCGGTTGATCAGGCTCGCTGACTTGGTCAACACATGTCATCGTATCCCAATTGAGTAGATCGATGCTCATGCTGTTGATCACTGGATTGTATGGTCCAGACTCGATTAGTTACAGACCGCCGCAATATAGCTGGAATATTGCTGAGAGTGGCGTTAAACAACAAACAAACAAACAAACTGATATTGGTCAACTAGAAGTCAACGAGACTTCCGTTGTCGATTCTTACCAATGAAGAGTGGACTCTGCCAGCAGATGATGATGCTGCCACTTGAAGCTATTAAGTAGGGATAGTCTCCCTGGACGTCTTCACGAAGACAACTGATGGACAGCCCATTCTTCGCACTGATGGAGGCAACATGAGAAGAGTCTTTGTTTCGCTGCTAGTGGCAGCCTCAGCGCTCTTCATCACTTTATTCCTGCCCTACTTTGAGGGATCAGCAGTATGCCGTCCATTGGGTCTCGACGTATGTGGACTTTCAGTCAAGATGGACGAGTTCTCTTAATGACTGAAACCGAAACTCTACCTTTTAGTGTGATAGTATTATTGTAGGCATTTGTCAACCAGCTCGGACAGCTCTACAACACTTCATTTCAAGGTTGAGGGTAGCAACTGAGAAACATACCTATTTAATAATGTATAATCAACACTGTTCATATTCGAAGGGGCGGTGGGGTAGCCTAGTGGTTAAAGCGTTTGCTCGTCACGCTGAAGACCCGGGTTCGATTCCCACATGGGTACAATGTGTGGAGCCCATTTCTGGTGTTCCCCACCGTGATATTTCTGGAATATTGCCAAAAGCGTAAAATTAAACTCACCCACTCGCTTATATTCGAAGCTTCCATTACTTTCTCTCTTTCTCACTCTAAAAGTCATAAGTTACATCCTCCTCTCTATAAAACGATCTTATAACTGCTTACGGATTATCGTCATTTTAAACCCGCTATCAAATCAACGGTTTTGTATAATTTTACCAAGAAACGGATAAGATAAACCGCCTCACTGATGAAACACGACGTCTTTCCTGGACTCAAATTTGCCACTTTGATATTATATATCAGATACTGTACCCGGACGAAACTCAATGTATCACTACATCCTCGTCTACGCCGCGAGTGATAGATTTGAGATATCAGGCTGAAATGCTGTGATAAAGATCGGTGTCAGTAATAATTTGTTTAAAGGATCCTATTGAGCCCCTTTGGTCAAATCCGACGAAAACCTGTTCCATAAGTTAGTGGCAGCGTTAATAAAATTTAATTATTTGTGGTGCTAGGTGGTTCTGTGCATAGCGCTCAGGTTACAATCAACAGAAGGTAAGCAACGTCGAGAGCGCGGGGTATCCTTGGATGGGTGACCGTGTTTGGCAGCTTGACACCTGAGAGTTTTAGGACTTCAGTCCTGCCCCACAACGAAGTACATGCGATACATGTGATCTCACCTTAGGCAAGTGAGCTTGTTCAAAATTGCCTCTGTTCACCCAGCAGATAATGGGTACCCGGTGAAATAAGTCGTGAGACTATTAACCTTCTAACAGGTAGCTTGGGTTATCCGGGGTAATAATGATCAGATTGGAAAAGGCGCGTTATAAATATTCTCATTGTTATTATTATTATTTTGCATAGTTCTCAGGGCTTCGTCAAATACTTTTCTTAGTTTTAACCATTCCTGAAAGAGCAATTACTGAAAGGTGAAGCAGGAGGAACGAGAAAGTGAGTGAGTGACAGAGTGAGTGAGTGTTGTAGTGAGTATGGTTTTACGCCGCTTTTAGCAATATTCCAGCAATATCACGGCGGGGACACCAGAAATGGGCTTCACACATTCTTCCCAGGTGGGGAATCGACCCCAGGTCTTCGGCGTGACGAGCGGACACTTTAACCACTAGACTACCCCACCGCCCCAACTCAGGGCGAAATCTATACCTGAAACTAATAACAGGGTTATCCTACTAAAGAAGTGTTTCAAATCATATGTCGATAACACCTGATCTGTTTTGTTTGTTTGTCTTCATACCAATATCGGCCCGTGAAGATCCGGGTTAGAACTGGTCTTCATTAACCCATGAATGTTGTAAGAGGCGACTAACGTGATCGGGTGGTCAGACATGTTATCGTATTTTACTTTAAACATATTTTATTCGAAAATGAAATGGATTGGGCACAAGTTATCCAACTTAGGAACGCCCTTTCCCAGAAGTTACATATGTCATATTTACAGTATAAAAACATTGATAAGGTTATCGTATTATGATTGTGTAGATCGACGCTCATGCTATTGATCACTGGACTGTCTGGTCCAGATTCGATTATTTACAGACCACTACCATATAGCTGGAATATTGCTGAGTGGGACGCTAAACAACAAACAAACAAACAAACAAACAAAATCATATCAATATTAAACTCACCCTGCAATAATAGTGCGTATATTCCTGACCAATATCGCTGCCAATAGACTGTCCAACCAATGGGTTTGCTAAATACCATATGAAGCATCACATCACTGCCAAGTACATGCATGTTGTCAGTTAATTCGTTTAACCCTAATGAAATGATGGTAATGTAGGCAGTCAGCCCGTGATTACAATGATGATTACACATGAGTAGTAAGACGTTTGTGATTTGAATAACGAAGGCACCTTATTGTTCTGTGTAGCAACAACATTTGTAGATGGCGTTATCGTTAAGTTTTGTATTGAACAGTATTTTTTAGCACTTATCATTAATAAACTGAACAACATAATTTAGGGATATTGGTATTTTTATTATTGATATTGTATTAGTGTGTAAATGAATAAATAGATCAGTATTCATAATTTCAAAATGTACATATATCCCTAACTATTTTTGTCCAGTATATGATTCTTTCTTTTTTCTCAATAAGGGCGGTGGTGTAGCCTAGTGGTTAGAGCGTTCGCTCGTCACGCCGAAGACCCGTGTTCGATTCCCCACATAGGTAGAATGTGTGAAGCCCATTTCTTGTGTCCCACGCCGTGATATTGATGGAATATTGCTAAAAGCGGCGTAAAACCCAACTCACTCACTCACTTACTCACTCTTATAAATGTGGAAAGGGTCTTGTGGCTTTTGTTACTTAACATTACTTAAGCAAAGTAACACAAGTAACATAAACTGGTTTTGAGATGGTTGCACCATCGTGGACGTGGGATATGGCTGTTAAAGACCAGTACATAACCTTGTCCCAGAACTGAGTCGGAATCTCAACTCGATCATTGCACATCATGGCGCGTTATATAACCAGGCATGCTGCGCGTGCATGCATGTTTTTTCTTGGCTAGGTTACAAGAACATCATCTGATGTCACAAGGATACATGCGGCCGCTCTCTCGACAACCGGGGTTGGCATGTGTGGGCAATCAAGACTTTACTCCAGTGAAATAAGACTAGCCACAGTCTGGTGAGTAGTCATTTTGAGTTTTCAATTAGTCTGAGAATAATGTTTATGCGCTTGCCCTTATCTCAAATTATACTACCATCAAAAGTTTAGACTCACTTAAAGCACTCACTATATGTTATGCATATGATATATGGTTACATCGAACTTTCTCCCCTAACTTGCGGGAACCAACTGCAAACTTTATGCAGATGAATTGAACGAGGATCATGCATCAAATTGCTGAAAAGCATGTGCAAATATCGTGGATGTGAACAGTTGCGTTTCGGTGTAAAGTTTTGTCAAGAATTCGCCAATTTTGACTAAGTTTCATGATTTATTGAACTCAGAGCAATAATCTTTTCAACGTTACGAATTTGTTTAACAATATATCAGCTCAAGTGCAAGCTCTAGCTTTAAACAGTGTGGGAGGGGCGGTGGGGTAGCCTGGTGGTTAAAGCGTTGACTCGTCACGCCGAAGACCCGGGTTCGAATCCCCACATGGGTACAATGTGTGAAGCCCATTTTTGGTGTCCTCCGCCATGATGTTGCTGGAATACTGCTAAAAGCGTCGTAAAACCAAACTCAGTCAGTCAGTCAGTTCAAACAGTGTGGAATGTTTTAAAAAATCTAGTTAGAACAGTTGACAGAAGTAAGTGGCTACATTTACGCTAGTGAGTCTAAACTTTTGAGCGGTAGTATATAATCATTTGCTGCAAAATTGTACCGATGAAATGGAAAAACAGATACAATGGAAAGCAACAAATAGTCTTGTTATTCGTTTGTCCATACTAAATCGTCCCTATAATTTGAGACATTGGCATGTTAAACAACGTTTCCTCTTCTTCATGCCAATGTCTAAAACTGTAGTGACGACTTGGCATGGACAAATGAATAACTTTCATGTTATTTGAAACGACTTGTTGCTTTCTAATGTATATGTATTTGACAATTCATCGGTACCATTTTGCAGCCAACGGACTATAGGTAACGTTTACTCATTTACTGACAAATCGATAGTAATATTAAGTTTAAACGAAAATGGTGGACGGAATACAAGAGCCAATTTGGATAAACATTTTTTTAAACATTAATCCATTACCATGAATCCAAATGATACCTAATAAAACATAATCGCACACAAATAACGCTTATGAAAAAACGAAACCGGTTATCAATATATCAAGAGAAATATTGGAAATAATGATCAATTTTAGAAAATATATAGAATACAACAAAATGGTATCCACCCCTCAACTCCCAATAGAAACAAGCGGGCGGTTAAAGTGTTCGCTCGTCACGCCGAAGACCTGGATTCGATTCCCCACATGGGTACAATGTGTGAAGCCCTTTTCTGGTGTCCCCTGCCGTGATGTTGCTGGAATATTGCTAAAGGCGGCGTAAAATCATACTCAATAACACCATAACAACAAACAAAGGAACAAATATTAACGCGCAATATTGAGATATTTTACTTTGAGGACGTTTTCTTTGGTTTTTTTTGTGAAAAACAATAATATTGTTTTCTGCATCGTGCTTTTTGTAAGCGTAATTTGACCGTTTTAGAGTTGTACAGGTTGTGTTTTGTACAGTTTGTATTTTGTACAAGCCTTAATAATCACATTGTGGTTTGTTACATATTTGCTTGTTTCGTTTCATGATACTGTTATTTATGATATATATGTCATTTTACAATTTCGATCAAAACAACGTGTCATCATCGAACGTGTAGCAAATAGACTGAAACAGACACTTAACATACTGATACATACTGATCAGACAGGATTTATACCTGGTAGATGCATAAGCGATAATGTCAGATTAATGTATGACATTCTATATGAACTAAAAAATAACAATAAACCTGGCGTTTTGATTTTGATTGACTTCGAAAAAGCTTTTGACACAAAGATTTTATTCTCAAAGTTCTCAGAAAATTTGGCTTTGGGCCCAACGTTATTAAATGGATAAAGATATTGATGCAAAATGCTTCCTCCTGTGTAATCCAAAACGGTCATATCTCCTCTTTCTTTCATAATGATCGTGGCTGTAGACAAGGAGACCCAGATTGTCCGTATCTATTCATTCTGGTAGCTGAGATCCTCGGTATCATGATAAGGGATAATACAGAAATCAATGGTATAAAACTGGATAATGAGGAATATAAATTAGCACCATATGCAGATGATAATCACTTATACTTAGACAGTTCTGAAGGAAGTTTGAAAGCAGCTTTAGAAACTTTACAAAAACTTTACAGCATGTCTGGACTTAAGATTAATGTGGAGAAAACTAAAGCAATTGGATAGGCTCTAAAATTGGAAGCAAAGTAATACTGTGCCCAGAAAATAGTTTAGACTGGCAAGAAGATGACTTTCACATTCGTGGCATATATATCAATCCTAATTTGGAAAATTTATGGGTAATTAATACTAGAAAAAGACTAGAAACAATTAACAGAATTCTTACAAGTTGGAAAAAGAGGAAATTAACACTACAAGGGAAAATTACAGTTTTGAAAACATTAGCACTATCAACTTTAGTCCATATTTTTTTGGTTCTTCCATCTGCCCCAAAAGAATTTATTAATCAATTGAATGACATTATGTATAACTTCATGTGGGATGGTAAGAAGGATAAAGTAAAGAGAACAACTTTATGTAGAAAATATGAAGAAGGTGGACTGTGAATGACAGACATCAGATCCTTTATAAATTCATTAAAGCTGTCATGCCTAAGAACTAGTAAGAAAACATTTGAATAAATATCAACTCAAAATCCAAGTTTATTTCCATTCAACAAGATATTTTTCTTGGTGCACACATTGATAAACATCTAATGGTCCATTTCGGAGTGAGGTTTTAGCTATATGGAGTAACTATTCCAAACAACAACATGTAGTTAATATTAATCAAGTAGAAGAAATATTGACTGAACATTTGGGGATGAATCACCAGTGTAGAAATAGTAATCTTTATATTAAAAATTGGTTCGATGAAGGTATTCACTTAATAGGAGACATTTGGGGAGAAAGTTGGTTTTTTGTCTTTCAATGAATTAACAAAATTTTATCGCATTAAAGGACTGACTGAGTTTGGTTTTACGCCGCTTTTAGCAATATTCCAGCAACATCACGGCGGGGGACACCAGAAATGGGCTTCACACATTGTACCCATGTAGGGATTCGAACCCGGGTCTTCAGCGTGTCGAGCCAACGCTTTAACCATTAGGCTAACCCCCCCTTTGTACATGAATTCTGGAGACAAGTTGAAACTTTATTTAAGCAGTATATCAGTTTTGATATTATGATTACAGATTCTGATATTCTCTTTTGCAATAGCTCCTATGGCTTATTGACATCACATATAATCTTATTAGCCAAAATATATATCCAGATCACAAGCATCAAACAAAATGTTAAAAATGGAAGGTTTAAGGAAACCTGTCAAAGATGTCTTTAATGTTGAAGAAATTAATGCAAAGAAGAATAAGCCCTGCCTTCATTCCATGCAAAGTGGAAAGATTTGATCACTTTATTGAAGTCTTAATGTAGTTGTCTCATGTCTTAATTTTGTCTTATATCAGTACTCATAGTACACAGCTATATCAGTACTCATAGTACACAGCTTATATCAGTTTTGATGTCCATACATGCTTATTTCACGCACGCTTCAGTACAGTCTCCAACAAACAATGTATTGCTGCTATATATAATTTACATAAAGCTGTTATTCATACACAATATATGTATATATTTGTACACACCCAATCTAAATGTACACCTACTGAATTGAAATGAATAAAATGATCTGAAAAAAACCCACATTTTAATTTCTAGTTTTGGAAACAATCGTACATACAAACGTTGCTTTCGCGACAGAGGCAATATTTTCGTATAGTGAGTGGGTGATAAGTTTTATTCTTTCTTGCACATTATCAGTTCTTTTTTTTGCGCTGTTGATTTCACTGCACATCATTTCGATGTCATTGTTCCATTTGTGAATCTTAGTGGGTAAATGTATATAACCCATGTTACAATCGAAATCTGTTATCTTAACATTAACAGTAGTTTCAAACAAAAATTAAATCTAATGCAAAGTGATTGCCATAGAATGGTTGGTCACTCAAGGCTATTGTAAACACCTTGTACAGTAAAAAGGCCTGCTGTTGCTAATTAATATTCATTCACGTTAGAAGTTCTTTTCTCGGTCCGATCCTGTTCGTCCGTTTACAATGTAGATGGCGGTGTTCTTGGCAAATCAGGGGCGGTGGGGTAGCCTAGTGGTTAAAGCGTCTGCTCGTCACGCCGAAGGCCCGGGTTCGATTCCCTACATGGGTACAATGTAATATATGAAGCCCATTTCTGGTGTCTCCACCGTGATATTGCTTGAATGTTGCTAAAAGCGACGTAAAACCATACTCGCTCACTTGGCAAATCAAGTTCCATAAAAGTTAACTTTGTATTTTTGAGTGAATAACTGGGGGCGGAGGTAGGGTGGGTAATTGTTTGTATTGCGTTGGCACATGGGTTTACGTATGTTTCATGACAGACCGAAGAATCGTGTGCTGAATACGCATTATGTCAGAAAGCGTACGTTAAATCTCAAAATCATCATCATCAGACAGAAGCTTGCGCTTGGGTAGCCTTTGTTATTACCTGAGGTAATTGCAGAAACCACGTGACGGCCTGACAGAAGTGTAATCCCTGACCACATCTTCGTCATGGTGACTGCGATGGACGACGGTTGGTCATCTCGGACACTGGCTGCAGTGCTGACTGTGGTGTGTCTGGCTACAGTGGACGCTGCCTGTCCCCACACGGACCTCCGTCTGAAGAGATGGAGCGAGGCCAGCACGTGGGGAGGAACCAAGCCAACGCGAGGTCAACAGGTGACGAAACTCAATAATTTATTATCACATAAAAGTCCTCTTCCCTAAATCATAAATCGATCAATAGACCGCCCCCATATAGCTGGAATATTGCTGAGTGTGGCGTAAAACCAAACTCACTCACTCACATAAAACAGTAATATTTGAGGACTGAATTAACATTGATCTCATAATCACACGTTTAAGAAAGCTATGTCTGTGGGGTAGCATAGTGGTCCAATCGTTCGCTTGCCACCCCGAAGACCTGGGTTCGATTCCCCAATGGGTACAACGTGTGAAGCCCATTTTTCCCCCACAGTGGTATTGCTGGAATATTACAAAACAGGGGCGTAAAAGCATGCTTCTTCACTCAACTTTAAAATACGTCATAAGTTTAGCATTTTAAGATACTATTCAATTTTCAATAGGTCCATCTATTCAATTCCGACCTATCAACTTTGTTAACTATACTACCCATCAAAAGTTTAGACTCGCCACTTTTTGCACAATATTCCATGCTGTTTAAAGGAACTGTGCAATTCATCTGCATACGGTTTGCAGTTGGTTCCCCCAAGTTATAAACCTCCAGTGACGTCACTCTATTCTTGCAAGGCGTATTTCTAGACATATCCTGATGGCCCGTCGATTAGGGGCATTACTTAAGTATTGCCCCTCTGCCCCCTTGATATTACTTCAATATTGCCCCTCTCTTGATATTACTTCAATATTGTCCCCTTGATATTACTTCAATATTGCCCTCTGCCCCTTGATATTACTTCAATATTGTCCCTCTGCCCCGGGATATTACTTCAATATTGTCCCTTGCCCCCCTCTGTCCCTCCTTGATATTACTTCAATATTGTCCCTCTGCCCCGGGATATTACTTCAATATTGTCCCTCTGCCCCCTTGATATTACTTCAATATTGCCCCTCTGCCCCCTTGATATTACTTCAATATTGTCCCTCTGCTCCGGGATATTACTTCAATATTGTCCCTCTGCCCCCTCTGATATTACTTCAATATTGTCCCTCTGCCCCGGGATATTACTTCAATATTGTCCCTCTGCCCCGGGATATTACTTCTTTTGAAGACTGATATAACTTTCTCTTGCTATCACTGAATGCGATCGTAAAATATCACATTATTGAAAACTTCCAAAACTCATTTCCGATATCTGGTTTCGAACCTACAACCCTTCGCTTATTAGCTTGGCGGTTTTTTCCGCTAGGCTACGAAGGATCGCTGTGAAGAATAAGATTGTTTGTCAGTATGAACCATGTGTTCCTCACAAGACGGGTAGTGCGGGCAGCGCACGTGCAAGACACAGGTAGCGCGTGCAAGGCAAGGTGTCTGCTGCCAGTCTCTTCCCAGTTGATTTCCACAGTAAATTATATCTTCTGTCGGTTTATAAGTTGGATATAACATTAAAAAATTAAAAAATTGTTTAAGAAACTGTCATCAATTATTTGTGCGTTTTCCCAGTTTGTTACAAGGGCGCAGTGGCAACTAAAGGAACAGCGCGAAAAGCGAGATGCACGTGCATTAGTGACGTGAGAGACATGTGATTACTGCTGATTGACAAAGTGAGAGAAAATGAAAGTCTATAATTTACAAAGTCTATGATTTTTTTCAAGGATGAAAATGACAGGGGGTGACCCAAGTATGCAATTACTAAGTACATACAGCGCACTGCCTATGGGGTACATGTCATCTCGTCAGCTGAAAAGTTTGTTGAGAACCTGTTCACGCACGTGCATCTCGCTTTTCGCGCTGTTCCTTTAGTTGCTAATGCGCCCTTGTAACAAACTGGGAAAACGCACAAGTAAATGACAGTTTTTTAAACAACTTTTTTATTTTTGTGACAAATTATGCAATTTTTTTCTAGAGTTGGTCTATTGTTTTTATTGCAGTCCGCGTTGGTTTGATTCTTTTATGCCTTTGTTTTTGTGTTAGATTGCAATTCATCGGTATCATTTTGTCTCAAACGGACTGTAATCAGAAGAGACATTCAATACACATAAAAAAGCATAAAAGATATTTGAGATGACCCCTTGTGTGTCTGGGCAGCACGTGCATTTCATGCCAAGTGAGTTGACGGTCCGTCGTCATACCTGGCTGAGCGACCAAATTGCCATCTATAGTCTGATCTATTGTTTAGTGCAGCTGTTCGTATTTTTCTAAGTTTTGCCCGATTTTACGAGTAAACATGCTTTTCTGGATATCCTATTACGCATCCCACTGAACGCTCAGTTGTTTTCGACATATGCTATTTGCAATAGTGTAAACTTTAGGGATGCAGAGTATCAGCCTAAAAAGAGTTTTCTAATCCGACAGTACTTTAGTAGAGAACTTCATCTTCGATGTAACCATCTATACATAACATATAGTGAGTGTTTTAAGTGAGTCTAAACTTTTGATGGGTAGTAAAGATCAGATAAAATTCTAAACCATGTAGTGGTACTGCCATAGCCTAGTTTTAATTGACATACTCAAAACTGCGAAAGACGCACACGTTTAACTGCCACTGTCTGGTGAAAGTTAACCATATATCCTTTTCATGAATATCGACATATCGTCCCAAACAAATTGTGTTTTACCTGGGTAGTCATTGGATTATTAGATCTCCCTCCGTGCAGACACAAGGTCGGTTGGGTAGAGAGGTGGTTAAAGTGTTCGCTCGTCACGCCGAAGATCTGGGTTCGATTTCCCACATGGGTACAATGTGTGAAGCCCATATCTTGTGTCCCTCGCCGTGATGTTGCTGGAATATTGCTAAAAGCGGCGTAAAACAAATTCACTCACTTCCCCGTTGAGGGTGAGTACTCAGAGATAAAAGTCTGTCCTGTGCCAGTAGAGGGTTCTAATCCCAGATTTTGAGAAAAATAGTAACCTCACGAATAAAAGATTCATTTATTATTCCCCCGCTAAACACTCCTTGCTGCACCCCTCCCCACCCGGCAGCATTGTGTTAACTATTAATTAGCCTGGCATGGACTCCATTACACCATCGGAATATTGCCCTTGGTTCTTATCACTTGCAGTTGTTTGGGGAACAAACTTTATGTTTCGAATGTCAAACCAACATCAGTTACCGTTCTAATTCTAAAACCTGACTTCAGGCTGTTCTTGTGGCTAATGTCCGTTTATATGAACTTCATGTAAAGATACAAGGGAAATATTCAGGAAATATTTGTTGATTAGTTTAACTTGTTGTTCACGTGAGGGTATGATGACATGAAATTACATTGCAGGTCAACCTGACTCCGGACATGCACGTGCTACTGGACGAGTCCACTCCGTCTCTGGGGTCCATCACGGTGGAGTCTGGGGCCAGTCTAGTGTGGGACGACAAGGCAGACATCACTCTCACCGTCAGCTACGTCCTGGTTAAGGGAGAGTTCCACGTCGGCAGCGACGATTGCAGATTCACCAAGAAAGGCAACATCGTCCTTACAGGTACAGTATATTACCACGCCAAGTAATCTGTAGTAGCATATTCACCAAGAAAGGCAACATCGTCCTTACAGGTACAGTATATTACCCCGGCAAGTAAACTGTAGTAGCAGATTCACCAAGAAAGGCAACATCGTCCTTACAGGTACAGTATATTACCCCGCCAAGTACACTGTAGTAGCAGATTCACCAAGAAAGCCAACATCGTCCTCACAGGTACAGTATATTACCACGCCAAGTAATCTGTAGTAGCAGATTCACCAAGAAAGGCAACATCGTCACAGGTACAGTATATTACCACGCCAAGTAAACTGTAGTAGCATATTCACCAAGAAAGCCAACATCGTCCTTACGGGTTGATTTAAACATATTTTATTCACAAATGTGAAAGGGATTGGGGACAAGTAATCCAGCTTAAAATACCCGCTCCCTAATATTTACATACATACATTTTCAATTATATACATATTAGGAAAGAATAGAGAGAAGAGATAGGAAAGTTAAGTAGAGGAAGGGATACAACTCATGTGATCACACAAAACGTTTTGATTGATGAATAAAAGTTTGCACACCTTTAAAAACGTATTCATTCTGTTGAATGGTCATATCAGGACTTCCAAATAACATCAATGACAATGTGATTGGAGAGTCTCGATTTACAATACTTTTTAAATTTAACATTAATATTTCCCTTTGAATGTTGTACAGTTTACATCCTAATAGGAAGTGATGTACATTTTCACAAGTATTGCCACAGTAACAAGAAGCAGAATCTTTCATGTTGAAACGATACAGATCATAATTTAGCTGACTAGTCATATATCTCAACTTTGTGTGTATAATATTTAATTTTCTAATTCCAAACGAGTAATATGATGGAGCTACAGGTTGCTCGCACTTTAAGTACGACTTGAAACTTTGTAGTGAAGGTCGATTTCTTTCGGTATCAGAAATATTATTCCACATTCTTACAGTTGATGGGGAAAAAAGGAATCATATGAAAGTCTTAACCTTGCAGAAGGTAGAATAATATTGTTAGCATTCCTAAGGTTATAATTAGATCTTGATCCAACACTATCTGGAGTAATATCTTTTAAGTATACAGGTGCTAAATCATTTTGAATTTTGTAGAATAGACAAAGTTTTCTTCTTCGTTCATCCAGCCTTTCCCAGCCTGTCTCATAATATAGAATTTGACGTGAAGTATATCTAGGTAGACCCGTAACGATTCTGGCAGCTTCTAACTGAAGTTTCTCTAAGTTTTCTTTCTGTTGTACAGTACAGCCATCCCATAATTCACAAGCATATTCAAAGTGTGGTCTGATAAATATCTTATAAATAGTATTGATTGTATTTCTGTTTAGTAAGTATTTCAATTTCCGCATTGATGATATCATTTTCGAGCACGACTTGATAATTTGATTAGTATGACAAGACCAGTTGCCTTTTGCTTCAAATGTTATTCCGAGATGTTTATGATTGTTTACCAAATTGATTTGCTTTCCGTCAAAAAATAATTTCAATTGTTCAGTTTCATCAATCATGGAAAACAACACTGCTTCTGTTTTTTCACGATTATATGAGACCAGCCAGTTTTTGCTCCAGCTATATAATATGTCTAAATTGGTATTCAGAGAAGTTTCGATTTCTTTAGTATTTTTCGATGATTTTCCAAGCGAGGTATCATCAGCAAAAAGTCTTGTTACACAATCTAATTTATCAGCAATATCGTTAACATAGACCACGAACAAAAAGGGTCCCAATACTGATCCCTGGGGGACGCCAGCTGTTAAGTACCTGGGCTTGGATATAGCTCCGTTTACAAAGACGTATTGACTGCGATCACTTATGTAACTCGATATCCATTGCAAAAGCTGGCCTCTAATACCATACATCTCTAATTTACGTACAAGCCCTTTGTGCCACATACGATCAAAAACTTTGGATACATCGCAAAATATCATACAATATTTTTCTTTGTTGTCGAGAGATGTACAAATATGATGGTAAAGTTCAATTAATTGATGGACAGTTGAATGACCTGCTTGAAAGCCTGATTGGTACTTATCTAAAAGTTTGTTAACAAGGAAATAGTTATACAAGTGTTTGTATACCACTCTTTCAAACAATTTTCCTATGCAACTGATAAGAGAAATAGGTATATAATTGGAAACAATAGAGTGATCACATTTCTTAAACAGATGCATGACATATGCACTTTGTTTCGCTGTAAACATTTTATAACATCAGATACTTCCTTCTCAGGAATTACTATTTTATCTAACTGCATATTGGTCCTTGAGGGAAAATGTGGTAATGGTTCATCTTTATCATTCAAACGAGAAATTGATTCGAAATATGTATTAAGTTTTTCAGCTTTTTCCAAATCAGAAAATAGCGTTGGAAATTCATCATCAACATTCTGCTTGAGAGGAGGAATATGCGAAGTAGAGTTTTTAACAATATAACGTAATAATTTCCAATATGAAGATTTATTTTCAGAGTATAATTCCAAAAGTAGGCCATTAATATTAGAGTAAAAGTTTTCTTTCGCATAGCATTTCATGTTGTTTACTCTATTTCTCTGATGTTTATAAGCTTTTTTATCGCTCTCTTTTTTTGTTTTCTTGGCCTTTCTCCGTAATCGGTCTCTTTTTCGGGATTCCCTCCTCAAATTAGAGTCATACCATGGTTTGTCATTTGGACGAATAGTTACTATTTTTGAAGGAATACATGATTTCACATGTTGAGTAAATTTGTTATAAAATGGTGAACAAGCATCATTAACATTTGAACATCCATTATATAAATCCTTCCATTCTGTATTTTCTATAAGATAATTGAGCATTTCATAATCACCCTTTGTAACACCAGATTTCTCGCTTATAAGATATGTTGTTACATAACTGTGTACTTATGTTTACATATGTTCCCCTGTGATCACTTATATTGCTATCAAACTCAACAACACCACTGTCAACAGCACCAATGTCTTCACTGACAATTACCGGATCAAGCAAAGTACTGGTTGTTTTGGTAACTCTAGTAGGTTCAGATATAACATTTCTTAATTTTTTCATAACCAAGAGTTCATTTACATTAAGTTATCTAGCGGATAAGAGATTTTCATTTATATCACCAACAATAACAACCTTAGACGACATATCAAGAGCACTTTCAACGCTATTATCTAAGCGAGCCCAAAAGTCCAAAAAATTAAACTCTGGTCGGTATACAGTACATAATTACAGCGAATTTTGAGGTAAATATATCTTAATCCAACTAGTAAACCACCCCCAAACATATTTCTGTCTTTGCGTACTGGCTCGTGAAAGTCTTCCCAGATTAGCATTTCAGCTTCAATACTGTCGTTTAAGTGCGTTTCCGTAAAGCAAACAACATTGTGATCTGATAAGAATTCACTCAAATAAGAAAGCTTGTTACGTAGACTTCTAGTATTTAGATGGAAAATAGACAATGAATGGTCACAGACAGTGTTGTCATGGGTCAGTGGCCCTGGGTTGGGTTGCACGTCCCCAGCAATCAATAATAACAATAGTAACACAAGGATTACGTCAACATTACCTGCTTGTGACTGGAGACAACAGACACTAAGAAACACCGTGCATGCTTTCCATTCGTTACAGAAAATCTCAAACATGAACTTCAATTCACGTACAAAGAGTTACATTACAACATGAAAAATGCTCATTAGTGACGCTCTTGAATCCAACCTGTATTCTAAATTTTACACAATTAAATACTCCAATCACCACACGGTGTTGCATTATATCATTACCCATGTAAATACTGGGAGTATAGTATATACTCAGACATTATTAGATAAAGATATGACATTATAAGATTAAACAGACATTGTATTATTATTTCATGTTGTCGGGAACAAATGTTGAATTTGAGTGTGATCACAACATATATAGCGGAAATAGAACGAGTACAGATAAGTAAACTTTTACAGATGGTTGATAGTACTTGAAGAATGGAGCTGATAGAGTAAGAACAAAGAGATTTGAATGGTATGATAGAGATAGAGAGGAGGAGACTAAATATCAAGGGATTCCTAACAACACAAAGAACTATCAAATAGCCAACGACACATAGAACAAGGAACATAAGACATTAAATCATCATTGTGGACATCAATAGTTTCGCATATACATATTTACATTGTGTCTACTTACAGGATATGTACAACTGAGTGGATAACACACTTAGTACAGTCACATATTATCCAGGTGATCCAATTAAGTTCTATTTATATTTATTCAGGTCGGTCTCACACGAAATCACATGAGTTGCTCCCTCCGGCTGTTCTAGAATGTAAATTCGTCCATCGCGTGTCCATGTCGCCTCAATTATTTTTCTTTTCATCAAGTCTCTCGTGCACTTGAAAAGTTTGCTCCTGTGTTGCGTGAGATCTTCATTTATGTACACTCCTGGATTGTTTGTTCTCAGTTTTGACCTGTTGATCATGACTTGTCGTTTATCCCAGAAGGACACAAACTTGACGATAATATCTCGTCGTTTCCCGAATGTTTCCTGCCTATTCGGTGACTCCTGTCGATATCCGAGATACGGATGTCCGGGTGTACAGTTTTTAGCACTTCTGTTACCAGTTCGTCAGTATTTTCTCCCTCGTTCTCAGTAATGCCTGCAATTCTAATTGAATTTCTCCGGCTATACTGTTCTAAATGATCTGTTTTCTGTGTCACTTCTTTTCTGAGCAGCACAATCTCTGACTTGAGGGGTTCGATTTCGCCTTTGAGTTTAGAGATTTCGGCTTGGAGAGGTTGCACAACAGATTTAAAATGCTCAGTTATGAGATCGGTGGCTATCTTCATAAACACCTGTTGAAATTCTCTTGTAATTGAGGCAGCATTAACGCACTAGAGAGTCTCGATGTTAATACATCTGTTGACGCATCATTAGTAAATTGAAACACTGAGGTAGACAGAAATGGTGGTGTTTTATCAGCATTTGGTGTGATAGTTGGGGGCGCGGTGGGCGAACTGGCTAAAGCGCCAGGCTAGTGATCCAGCGAGATTGAGGTGCCGGGATCGAGCCCACCTGTGACCGGGTGTAAAAACCTTGGAGTCAACTTTGTGTGCAGACTCTTTCAGTGTTGTCACAACCCCTAGTGTACGGTACACAACCCTGTGCACTTAAAAGAACCCACGAATCCGTTGGTATATGACCAGATGGTGGCCACATGAATACGTGCAAACACCCAGTTGCGGGTACAGCAACGTGCAGTAAACATGGACAAAGTACTGTGACTATGTGTCCCAGTCCACCCAGCTGTAAAAATGGGTACCTCGTAAGGATGGGAATGCCACACTAACTCTAACTGCAAGAGTTGTGCTCCCTAGTAGGATTGACAAGAGTTGACATATGCTTTGAGCCCCAGCTGGAGTTGAGATTGACAATACGAGGTACAGTATATTACCCCGCCAAGTACACTCTAGTAGCATATTGACATCCAGTGAACGAGCAGGAAAAAACAAAGCGCCTGTTGAGCAAAGCAGAGCTGAGCTGGATATCGGCGCTATACAAATGCTAGCATAATAATAATAGGGGCGTTCTGGAGCTTCACGGCAGAGAGAAGACGTCATGGACGAAGCTGGCGACCTCCATCCCTGCTGCAGATCAGACGTGTGGAGTTGTCTACAATCACGAGGTAAGGTTCAAGGACAGAGACTGTCCCTGTGGTATTTCTATACAGGTCTTGATGCGCGTGTCAATGGAAGCAACAGTATTCATAGAAGGAAGTGTCGAAACGTCTCTGAAAAAACACACACAAATAATGAGTTCATCCAAAATGTCATGCGTCCTGTATTCACAAAAAGGAATAAAATGCAGTGTCCACATATGAGAAACATTGTGATACATTGATACTGAGATAGAATACAGGTGTCGCCTAAATATCACTACATGGACACTTTCTTAACATATGATCCGGGTTAGAATCGGTCTTCAGTAACAGGGGTCGATGGGGTAGCCTAGTGGTTAAAGCGTTCGCTCGTCTCGCCGAAGATCCGGGTTCGATTCCCCACATGGGTACAATGTGTGAAACCCATTTTTGGTGTCCCCCGCCGTGATATTGCTGGAATATTGCTAAAAGCGACGTGAAACTAAACTCACTCACTCACATGCTTGTCGTAAGAGGCGACTAACGGGATCGGTTGGTCAGGATCGCTGACTTGGTTGACACATGTCGTCATATCCCAATTGCGCAGATTGATGCTGATGTTGATCACTGGAGTGTCTGGTCCAAACTCGATAATTTGCAGACCGCCGCCATATAGCATGAATATTGCCGAGTGCGGCGTTAAGCAACCCTTGATGGTCCATGTCAGAATATTGATTTTCAGTGACCCGTGCTTGTCGTAAGAGGCGACTAACGGGGTCGGTGGTCAGGCTCGCTGGCTTGGTTGACACATGTCATCGGTTCCCAATTGCGCAGGTCGATGCTCGTGCTGTTGATAACTGGACTGTCTGGTCCAGACTCGATTATTTACAGACCGCCGCCATATAGCTGGAATATTGCTGAGTGCGGCGTAAAACTAAACTCACTCACTCACTCTTGAAGGAAGTTGTGATAGCTAGCCAGGCTGATGGTTGATTGGTCATCTAACTGTGATTGTGGTCTGTTAAAGAATACCGACTATGGCAAGGAGACTGGGATGGGACTCCACGTAGTGGTGTGGAACCTGGACGGGAGCCTCTATGACTTCGGCGCCTTCTACACGGGAGAGGCTAGGAGATCTGACGCTGAAAGATTGTTTTTGAAGTTCCTTAGTAGTAAGTGAAGTTTGAATGCGAGTGCGCTTTAACTGTTCTTTAAACAGTGCAAATAGCTCCTGACAAACTAGCTCGGGCCCGTGAAGTTCCGTTTAGAATTGATCTTCAGTAACCCATGCTTGTCGTTAAAAGCGACTAACGGGATCGGGTGGTCAGTCTCGCTGACTTGGTTGACACATGTCATCGGTTCCCAATTGCCTAGATCGATGCTCATGATGTTGACCACTGGGTTGTACAGACCGGACTCGACTATTTTCATGCCGCTGCCATATAGCTGGACTGTTGCGTACAGCAATAAATAAAACAAAAAGAACCAGTACGATGTAGTTAGGGTGACAGACTACGAATCATCCCCTGGCCATGTTGGTGTAGCATCGAACTCGCACTGTTCCCCGAGTTAAACATTCAAGTTAATACTCTTCTTGATAAATCTTCACGTTTATTTTAGTTATCCCCACTGGTAGAGTCGTGGCCATCAGTGTGATGAGGAGGCTGGGCGTTGAAGCAAGACATGACTGGAACTGGGAGGCGATGTATTCTGCCGTTGAGACTCTCGGTGGATTGAAACGGTCACGGATCAGAGATGTGAAGGATGGAGAGGCTTATGCCTTCATCACTATGACGGGTATGAGCGAGAGAAATAGCATTGCAACATATACCATGCCGTAACCTGTGCAGATCTCTACTGCAAAGTGACCCATGAAGATCCGGGGTAGAATAGGTCTTCAGCAACCCATGCTTGCCACAAAAGGCGACTATGCTTGTCTTAAGAGGCTAACGGGATCGGGTGGTCAGGCTCGCTGACTTGGTTGACACATGTCATCGGTTCCCAATTGCGCAGATCGATGCTCATGCTGTTGATCACTGGATTGTGTGGTCCAGACTCGATTATTTACAGACCGCCGCCATATAGTTGGAATACTGCCGAGTGCGGCGTAAAGCTAAACTCACTCACTCACTCTGTTGCAAAGTAGTTTACAGTCAGCTGCACTGTAAACATATGCATATGTGTGACGTGCAGCATAGTTACCATGGTATGACCGAATCAAACTAAGTATTTCAGGAACCTCTTGTGCTTTGAGGGGCGGTGGAGTAGCCTAGTGGGTAAAGCGTTCGCTCGTCACGCCGAAGACCCGGGTTCGATTCCCCATATGGGTACAATGCATGAAGCCCATTTCTGGTGTCCCACGCCGTGATATTGCTGGAATATTGCTGGAATTTTGCTAAAACCGACGTAAACCCCAACTTGCTTACTCACTAGACTCGCTTAAAGCACTCACCATATGTTGTATATCTATATGTGGTTACATCGAAGATGGATTTCTGCACTAACTTGGGGGAATCAACTGCAAATCTCATGCAGATGAATTGCACAAAGATCATGCATCATATTGCTGAAAGGCGTGTGCAAATATCGTGCATGTGAACAGCTGCGTTTTAGTGTAAAGTTTTAATAAGAACTCGCCAATTTTCACCGAGTTTTATCATTTATTGAACTCGTGACAATCTTTTCAACGTTACGAATTTGTTTTACAATATATCAGTTCATGTGTAAACAGTACCTTTCAACAGTAATACTATGGAATATTTATAAAAATCTAGTTTTAATTACAACAGTTGACTGAAGTAAGTGGCTACATTTACACTGTAGTTTTACCTTGTCAACTGAACATTTAAATCTCAGAATTATATTCAATTAATGATAAAAGTTGTTAACAAACGATCACAGATTCAAATAGCCATTATTGGTTTGTATTACAAGGGGTATGCACATTAAATGAAACACCGAGAACAAGTAGGGTTGGTTAACGCTCATCGCGTACAGCACGTGCATTTGTTTCACTGTTCCAACTACTGAGCTTACATCCGTGTAATGCAAACCAATAATAGCGATTTGAATCCATGATCGTTTCTGAGTTTTAAATGTTCAATTGGCAAGGCAAAATTATGAGGATTCGCAATCTTAATTTCACTTTATTTCATTTACTTTTTTGTTTAAAGTGAAATTCATCGGTACGTTTTCACTGCAAACAGACTATAGTGAGTGTAAACTTTTGATGAGTAGTATATATTGTCTCAGGAAGCCCTCACGTCACAATGGAACATCACGCAGCCGTACAAGAAAACACGAAGTACACAATCACCGACGACGTTCACGTCACTCTCTGGGGAAAGAAACTCAAGTTCTTTGTTGAAAGTGCTGTCAGGAAAGTGAGAGACTGGAGCCTCCCTCATGACGTCAACTTCCGGGTCATGTCAACTGATGTCGCCTACCCAAAGATTGACGTCATCAATGACGTATCTACATGGCAACCAGGTAAACGAATAATAATTTGTTGCAAAAGTTGATACATTGACTGTTACCGTTCAGGTGATTGTGTTGTGTCCACCTATGTATATACTGACTGTTCCTGTTCAGATGATTGTGTTGTGTCCACCTATGTATATACTGACTGTTCCTGTTCAGGTGATCGTGTTGTGTCCATCTATATATATACTGACTGTTCCTGTTCAGGTGATCGTGTTGTGTCCACCTATGTATATACTGAATGTTCCCGTTCAGATGATCGTGTTGTGTTCACCTATGTAAACTCCTCACAAAAAATTAAGCAACAAGTATTTTCAGTGTGATATCTTCATCAATCTCGATAGCGATTTTTGCCAACATGTTACTGAAAGGTAAATATTCAAAGAATACATAATATTTAGTGACCGTCAAATTGATTTATCTGATAACATTGACAACATCACCCGAACCACCCTCAGAAACAACATGCAAAATGTGTGACATGAATGTGCTCCACTCTTCACACATGCACCCTGATTGGTGTAAACCTACCAGTAATCATTCCTCTGGTACAACAAGCGGGTCCTAACTACATGTTTATGGAAGATATTGACTGTCCATGGATGATAATGCCCGAGAAAGAGTTGTTAAAGAGATTAGATCAACATCACACATATGGACTGACCTGCAAGGTCACTTGATCTTAATCCCACTGAACATGCTTGAGAAATTATTGGAAATCGTGTTTACGGTGTCCATGTTCACCCTCAGACTCTGGATGACCTTGAGCAGGCGTTACAGAGCGAATGGCAGAACATTCCACAACAGCAACTTCAAAGGCTCATTTGGTCAATGCAAAGACGCGTAGAAGCTTGCAGTTGTGCTCATGGTAGTCATACGCGTTACTGAACACTGCTTCACTGTCCAAAACTTGAACCTAAATGTTGACATTTTGCTCCATCAATGCAGCACATGCTGCAGGAATATTTCGCGGGTACATGATGATTTGTAAGTCTTTTACTGCTCAATACCATTTCATTTTGTTAATCGTGTGTACATATGATTCACCTTTCTATGTGTACAACTATGTATTTACTGTTCCCGTTCAGGTGATCGTGTTGTGTTCGCCTATGTATATATTGACTGTTCCTTGTCATGTGATCGTGTTGTGTTCGCCTATGTATATATTGACTGTTCCTCTTCATGTGATCGTGTTGTGTTCGCCTATGTATATATTGACTGTTCCTCTTCATGTGATCGTGTTGTGTTCACCTATGTATATATTGACTGTTCCTTGTCATGTGATCGTGTTGTGTTCACCTATGTATATATTGACTGTATCTCTTCAGATGATCGTGTGGTGTTCACCTATGTATATACTGACTATTTGTCTTCAGGTGATCGTGTTGTGTTCACGTCCACGGACTTTAACTGGAAACAGGCGGAAGAACTTGAAGTGTTTCCGTGTGACGACTGCGCCAGCAACCAGTTCCGGGTCAAAGGTCGGTTATGAGTGGTTAGTTGATGATGATGCTGTGACAGTCAGTCTCTAGAATTGTCGGACGTGTTAATTAAATATTTGTACGGAGGAAGTTCCAATAGAATATGGGAGAAGCATTAGCATGCTTATAAAATGTTTGACACGCTAATTTTGACCCGCATATCAAAATAAGTATGATCTTGTCACCAACTTTCTTTCCAACCTCCCCGATTTAATCATGTTTTGTAGGAGAATTCAAGTTCCCCCACTACGGCAAGGTGTATGACGGAGTGGACATGAGAGGTGAAGTGGCGCTGCTATCACGTGACTTCGTCATCGAAGGTCAGATGGAGACCGAATGTTACGTCACAGAAACATACATGGAAAAAGAGAAATGGTTGTGCGCACGGTTTGACTTCGACCACTTCGGTGGACACTTAAAAGTAAGACAAGTCCTAAGTCTGGTTCTGTTCCAAAGTCCACGACCAAAATAATATAGATTTGAACCCGACCTGGCAATGCTTCTAAAGACTGCTTCTCAGAGTGTTAACTTCGTCGACACGTGAAGATCCAGGTTCCATTTGGTCTTCAGCAACCCATGCTTGTCGTAAAAGGGGACTGACGGGAACTAGCTTAGGTTCGCTGACTTGGTTGGCAAATGCTAGTGTATCCTAATTGCGTAGGGCTGGTGGGGTGGGGTAGCGTAGTGGTTAAAGCGTTCGCTTGTCGCGCCGAAGACCCGAGTTCGAGTCTCCACACGAGTACAATGTGTGAAGCCCATTTCTGGTGTCCCCCGCCGTGATATTGCTGGAATATTGCTTAAAGCGGCGTAAACCTAAACTCACTCACTCACCTAATTGCGCAGGTCGATGCTCACCAGATGATCACCGGATTGTCTGGTCCAGACTTGAGTATTTACATACCGCCGCCATGGTGCTGGAATAACACTGAGTGTGACGTTAAACAACGAACGAACGAACAAACAAATCATTTATCTAAACGAGTCCGTGGATATAAAAATAAACAGTCTGATGGTGATTGTACAGATTTCGATGTAGGAAAATATCCCTGAACCTCCCTGTCATTCAACCCCTTAACCGCATCACGGTGGTTTGGCATGGGATTGCATGATACAGTCGCCAGGTACATATGTTCACGATGGAACCATTCCAGTATCTTGTTAGGGCACAATCAGTGCGAGCGAAAATATTGATGAAGTTAATCGTATTACAGGTGACCAAGGGTTTCAAGTCGGTTCACATCCAAGGTATTGAGTTCTACCACATGGGACAACAGGAGTTCTCAGGTAATATATATCACTTATAAGATGTCAATAAGATCAACATTTTCTTATTTATTATCAACCCGTGAGGATCCGGGTTAGACGCGGTCTTCAGTAACCCGTCGTAAGAGGCGACTAACGGGATCGGGTGGTCAGTATCGCTGACTTGATTGACACATGTCATTGTATCCCGATTGCGTAGATCGAATCTCGTGTTGTTGATCACTGGATTGTCTGGTTTCGACTCGATTATTTACAGACCGCCGCCATATAGCATGAATATTGCTGAGTGCGGCGTAAAACTAAACTTACTCAATCACTATTCATTGTCAACAGCAACAGATGTTCAGAGACTGCCTTGCCTTTTTATTCACCATTTTTCCTTCAGGATTCTCTTGTCGTCAAATCTTGTTTGACGTCCCCCATTATACGTACAGTTAAAACATTCGTGATTGTCCGTTTGTTGTTCAACGCCACACACAGCAATACATAAGCTACATGGCGGCGGTATGTAATTAACATGAGCATCGATCTACGCAACTGGAATACGATGACATGTGTCAACCAAGTAAGCGAGCCTGACCATCCGATCCCGTTAGAAGCATGGATTTCTCAATTCATAACAATTATCCTTTAAAAGGGCCTCAGATGTGTACAGTCCGTTTGAGTCAGAAACTGTGCCGTCTACATCCTTTCTCGCACACCTGGCTGTCCCTTTCTCTGCACTCCTCCCTCGTAACAAATAGTGAGCTGTGTCAAAATTTTAATCATAGTTTCTTAAAGAACATTTTTGGTGGAGTCCGGAAAATTTTCAAATATAAGAAAGCTGTTGGGTATTAGTAAATGATAAACTTGTGTACTATTTATATTTATGTGGCAATTTTGTACAATGATCAAATTTGCAATTCATCGGTCCGTTTCTGACTCAAACGGACTGTAATATTTGAACATTCTGCCTATTTGTGTTTCCTAGTTTGGTCCCTTTTTATACTTATTTACAACATCCTGGAACAGTTTCACCTTATTAGGTTATATCTGAAAAAGGAGCGGTGGGGTAGCCTTGTGGTTAAGGCGTTCGCTCGTCACGCCGAAGGTCCGGGTTCGATTCCCCACATGGGGTACAATGTCTGAAACCCATTTCTGGTGTCCCTCGCCGTGATGTTGCTGGAATATTGCTGAAAGCGGCGTAAAACCATGCTCACTCACTACATCTAATATTCTATTCACACACGTACATTGATATTATCGTGAATTTGCGAATTCATCACATGAATTATAGGCTCCTACCCCATACACTTCCACATGTGCGACGACGTCAACGGCACCTGGGTCCGCAGCAACTCCGTCCACATGAGCATCGATCTACGCAACTGGAATACGATGACATGTGTCAACCAAGTAAGCGAGCCTGACCATCCGATCCCGTTAGAAGCATGGATTTCTCAATTCATAACAATTATCCTTTAAAAGGGCCTCAGATGTGTACAGTCCGTTTGAGTCAGAAACTGTGCCGTCTACATCCTTTCTCGCACACCTGGCTGTCCCTTTCTCTGCACTCCTCCCTCGTAACAAATAGTGAGCTGTGTCAAAATTTTAATCATAGTTTCTTAAAGAACATTTTTGGTGGAGTCCGGAAAATTTTCAAATATAAGAAAGCTGTTGGGTATTAGTAAATGATAAACTTGTGTACTATTTATATTTATGTGGCAATTTTGTACAATGATCAAATTTGCAATTCATCGGTCCGTTTCTGACTCAAACGGACTGTAACTATTTGAACATTCTGCCTATTTGTGTTTCCTAGTTTGGTCCCTTTTTATACTTATTTACAACATCCTGGAATAGTTTCACCTTATTAGGTTATATCTGAAAAAGGAGCGGTGGGGTAGCCTTGTGGTTAAGGCGTTCGCTCGTCACGCCGAAGGTCCGGGTTCGATTCCCCACATGGGGTACAATGTCTGAAACCCATTTCTGGTGTCCCTCGCCGTGATGTTGCTGGAATATTGCTAAAAGCGGCGTAAAACCATGCTCACTCACTACATCTAATATTCTATTCACACACGTACATTGATATTATCGTGAATTTGCGAATTCATCACATGAATTATAGGCTCCTACCCCATACACTTCCACATGTGCGACGACGTCAACGGCACCTGGGTCCGCAGCAACTCCGTCCACCACAGCCTGGCCAGATGTGTGACCATCCACGGCACAGACCGACTCGAGGTAAACACACCCTGGAACCCATAGGCTGGGACAGCTACAACAATGCTGATGCTGGGTTTTATAAGGCTTTTACTTTGTCCTCTCAGTGGGTGAGTGAGTGAGTTTAGTTTCACGCCGCACTCAGCAATATTCCAGCTATATGGCAGCGGTATGTAAATAATCGAGTCTAGACCACACAATCCAGTGATCAACACCATGAGCATCAATCTACGCAATTGGGAACCGATGACATGTGTCCACCAAGTCAGCGAGCCTGACCACCCGATCCCGTTAATCGACAAGCATGGGTTACTAAAGACCAATTCTAACCCTGATCTTCACGGGTATCCTCTCAGTGACTTAATGACATGTATTTGCTCCTCCCTCTCTCTCCCTCCCTCCCTCCACTCACTCACTCACTCACTCACTCACTCACTCACTCACTCACTCACTCACTCAGTCACTCAGTCACTCAGTCACTCACTCACTCACTCACTCACTCACTCACTCACATATGCTTCGAGGAGATACTGATACATGTTCCCTTGTCATGAAAGTAGATTACTATCTAACAAAGTGATTTTAAGTTCAAATTCATAGTTTAGCAATTGTCTAGTTCTATACGAAAGCTGTTTCCAGCAACATGGTCCACTGACTTCAGTCATCTAGTGTTGTTTAACGGCACATACAAACAAACAAACAATTGGCTAAACTCAAGTCAAGGCTGATGCCGAATATATACTGGACAAAAATATTTAGGGATATATGTAAACTTTGAAATTATGAATAATGATCTATTTATTCATTGTCATACTGATGAAATATCAGTCATACCCTATCTTTTTTTTGTCCAGTATATAATGCTATTATCTTCCTATACCGTTCTATTAAGTGACACGTGAGTTTCATTGCGTATGTTGTTAAAATGTAAAATCATGGAGAACAACAGGAAGCAATAGATTCGTATTCCGTTGGTATTACTTCGTATTGCGTGGTTTCACGGCGTATTCCCTTGATTTCACGGCGTTTTCCCTTGATTTCACGGCGTTTTCCCTTGATTTCACGGCGTACTCCCTTGATTTCACGGCGTACTCCCTTGATTTCACTGCGTTTTCCGTTGGTTTCACCTGCATATTCAGTTCGTTTTACTTCGTATTGCGTTGGTGTCAATGCATGTCCTGTCGATTTCACCTTGCATTCCGTTGGTTTCACTTTGCATTCCGTTGGTTTCACCTTGTATTCAGTTGGTTTCACCTCGTTTTCAATTATGTGAATATGCTAAGGGCGGTGATGATATCTAGTATGGCACAGCGTATTAAATCAGTTGCACTTTGTTACTGTAATTAGAATGCATTACACGACAATCCATACGTCCTGTACTGTATATAAACATATTGTATATATTGCTTAGGTATCGGCGCCATTTCACCTTCAGTCACTTCAGACTTCTACAGACACCGTTCACAAGTTTTCCAATAATCAGCGTACGTTAGTCCACGTTTGTTCTGTTAACACAGCGGTGTCTTGGCATGCTAATTAATAGTCGTTTTCTGTGCAGGTGAGCGACAACGCCTGCTACGACCATCTTGGCCACGGCTACTTCCTGGAAGACAGTGTGGAGCAGTACAATATTCTGGACGGGAACATCGGAATCGGAACGAAACACGGCACTCACATATTGACTGATATGAAAAACGGCTGGTGCAACAAAACCCTGGCCTGGAACTGCAAGTACGTCGTGCACTGTATTGTCCTAGTGTACCACTCACGTATTGGTACAGGCACTAATATATTACATTGTCTCACCTAGTTTCAGTATCCGTTGTACATGTTTAAATTCCATTTTCGACCCATGGCTGTGAGGGTAGCCTTGTGGTTAGAGCGTTCGCTCGTCACGCCGAAGACCCGGGTTCGATTCCCCACATGGGTACACGTGAAGCCCATTTCTGGTGTCTTCCGTCGTGATTTTGCCGGAATATTGCTAGAAGCGGTGTAAAACCATATTCACTCAATAATTACCAGTAACATTTAGGTCTGATCTCGCAACAAAAACCTTTATCTTACGGACTTTTGATTATTGTAATATGTCGGATAACTGCACGATAGACCAGAGTCATATGTTAGACATACGTCACCTGGATGGTGTATGAACAATTTGCTGGGTTCCCAGAGCCCAAACTCACTCACTCATTTTTGTATCCTTTGTAGTCTTGACTCTGGCATGTCGATTTGTCAAGTGACGAGGCTAACACGAACCAATTACATGTATACACTTCAAGTTATTGACATAAATAATCTAGAATTTCAGTAACAGGGGTAAAAACCTACCAATGTCTGCGTCGTCATGTTGCTTTGGTTATGTCTCTGCTTCCTTCTCCGCCCAGTTCTCTGTCCACGTTCTGGATCACCCATTTCAACAACTACATCAGAAACAACGTAGCCGCCGGCTCCGACGTAAGTAAACACGTCATGTCAGTCACTAATGAGGGAAGAAAGCTTCTGGGCCCGGTTCAATTCTCGGGTATCTTAACCGCCGGTTAACTCCTAACGGCCGGTTAAATCCTTAACCGGCCGTTAGCTAACCGAACGTTAAATATGCGTTGTTCAAAACATGGTTAGTCATGCCGTTAGCTAACGTCACCGTCAAAGTTTAACAGTGTGGTTAACGTCACTGGTTATCTTCCATATATCTCACAATTCCGTTTTCTGTTTACTTCCGGTTTGCCAAAAATGGAATAGCAAAATCTCGCCTGCACCCCTAGGAAAAAGGGAAGTAGAAATTTCTCTGCTGACGAGGAGAATGTTACCCAGTCAATGGTTGAGGCCAACTGATCTTTGTTAATAGAGAAACGGAAACAAGGGTATGATCAGAGATTGTAAGAGAGGTGCATGCGAAGGGGGTAGCTACGAGGTCCTTGGTTGAAGTGAAAGAAAAGTGGACAAACATGAATCGGAAGGCCAAGAACGACCACAGAATTCAGTCACGGAAGACCGGCTAGGGCCTACCACCGCCTGATCTTAGTCAAGCAACCAGCCGCATCATTTACATGATGCGTGACTCGACAAGTTTTGACGTGTAATTTTCAATAAATCATCAAACAATAAAAGATGAATTTCAGGGTATAGGGCGGCGGTCTGTCAATAATCGAAGCTGGACCAGACAATCCAGTGACCAACATCATGACCATCGATCTACGCAATTAGGACACGATAACATGTGTCAACCAAGTCAGCGAGTCTGACCACCTGATCCCGTTAGTCGCCTCTTACGACAAGGAATGTGTTGCAAAAAGTATCCTGCTGGTGCCATGCAACCAGAGTTTGACGAGAAGAGAGCATTATACTTTTTCCTCTTGTTTGTTTGTTTCTGACAAAAGAGACAACGACTCGTTGAGCAGGATTTGAAGCATAACGTTGTCAATTAACTCTTCATTCCCCAGAACGCTGGTTTCTGGTTCAACTACGCCGACCGCCCACTCGGACCATCAGCTGCCCGTCAAGCAGAGAAATTGGCCAACAACCAGCCAGCTGTCACAAAGTTTCAGACTAGACACACCCCAATCCTGGAGTTTGACAACAACGTGGCTCACTCTAATCGTGAGGTGAGACATTTCTGTATAACTCTGCACTTCTTCAAACGCTTTGCTATAAATTCAAGGGGCGATGGAGTAGCCTAGTGATTAAAGCTCGTCACGCCAAAAACCCGGGTTCGATTCCCCACCTGGGTACAAAGTGTGAGGGCGTCCCCCGCCGTAATAATGCTGGAGTATTGCTAAAAGCGGCGTAAAACTAAACTCACTCCATAAATTCAAACTTTGCTGTTGAGCCGGGAACAGCCATATACAAACCATGGGTTTAACAAGAGCGTTACTATATCCCATCATGAAGTGGGGTAGCCTAATGGTTAAAGTGTTCGCTCGTCACACAAAAAGACCCGAATGAAGCCAAATTCTACTGTCCCCAGTCGTTATATAGGTGGAATATTGCCAAAATATTGCCAAAATATTGCTAAAGGTGACGTAAAATCTCTCACTCTGGCTGAAACACGTCACGAATTGCGACGAATGATTTTTGGTTCTTGTGTTTTGCAAACGGACTTCAATTTTTATGAGCCCCCTTTTATGCAAAAGAAACAGATTTGTAACTGTACCCATTTGCACGAACCTGTACCCATTTGCACGAACCATCTCGGGACTAAAACTGTTGTAAGCCCGTATAAAATGGGTGACGTTATCACTACTGAAGTGGTCACTTTGGTCAAGTGTCCCCTTGTGTCAGAATCAAAACTGGTCTATTTTATATTGGCCAATATTCGAATACCTGTGAAAAAGGACCGCCTCCGTGGTGTAGTGGTCAGAGCGGGCTAATACAAGCAACCGCACATACACATACACACGCATGCACGTCGTCATATGAGCGAAATATTCTCAAGCACGACGTTTAACCCAATTTCACCTCACCTCACCTCACCTCACCTCACCTCACCTGTGAAAAGGACCAACAAGACTTAACCTGATAACATTGTACTTCCCAGAGAGGTCTGATGTTTGACAACAGAATCTCAAACGGCCATAAGGGCCGTAAGACGTTCGTCCCGGAGAATGCCAGGTTTGGAAGCAACAATTACGACCCAAGAGTACCCAACACCCCAAAAGGAAAACCCGTGACCACCACCATCAAGAGGTATTACATGTATACATGGAGTAGGGGAATTAATGCCTTTTAACTGTAGTCTACAAGCCTGAGGGGAACATACATAACACACAACCAGAACCAGTGCAGCTTTTCATCAATATATACTCTTAAAAAAAGTAGGAGATTCCGAACCTGAAATTTCAATTTAGATTGGAAGTATAAGCTTTAACAAACTTTTGAAAGACAGACCTCTTATGAACGCACCACTCTTTATCACCACCCCTAAACACAAAGCATGGGATGCACGTGCACCACGCAGTAGCCCCATATAAGTACATCTGGTGTCATTCTTGATTTTGACGGTTTTCAAGAAGGTCGATAAATCAATGTAGACTATTACTTTTGACGACCATCTTGCATCACACAGATGTTGGTGTTTGTTTCTAGCTAGGTTTATTTTGTTTGAAATGAAAATCATACACATGCACATTTCACGTCATACACCAATCATCTGTCAAGAGTGATTACTGTATAAACAACTATGGTCATAAGGAAGTGCAAGTGATGATACACCTCTCAAAACATTCATTATCATATGAACATTGATTGACTCCGATATATCGCTTAAGTTTTTCAATCGTAAATTAAAAATGAAGTTCCCCTACTTCTTTTGAAGAGTAAACAATTCCACAAAACGCACAGGTAACCAATACCAAGTACCTCAACCAGAACTATACAAGAATTGGGTAAGACTTTTTATATAAGTAGTGATGATAACAAGATTCTTGTGTGTGTTGTCAAGTGAAAGACAACTCCTAGTGTACTACGATATCATAAGGCTAGAATATACGGTAGCGATAAAGCCTCACCTCCCAACTTTAACTTAGTGCACAGAAAGCTGTCTTGTATTTTACCTGCTTCCATCTCTCCGACAGACTTACCGTTTACAAGAACCGTAGGGAGAATATCTGGCTGAGGGCTGCCAACACCATTCTGGTCAACTCCAGGTGAGACTGGTCAAGGGAGATTACTCTAGTGTACAAGAAACCTCTCACTCGAATTCCTGTTGCTTCTAGGTTGTCAGAGGCGGTGGGGTAACCCTAGTGGTTAAAGCGTTCGCTCCTCACGCCGAAGACCCGGGTTCGATTCTTCACATGGGTACAATGTATGAAGCCCATTTTTGGTGTCCCCCGCCGTGATATTGCTGGAATATTGCTGAAAGTGGCGTAAAACCGAACTCACTCGAGGTTGTCAACGCTATACCCATAGTATTTTTTCACCTGAGGTAGATATCCAAGAGCTGCATCACTACGGGCGTCCCCACACCCAACGTCCCACACCCCACACCACACCTCACCTCCCACACCTCACCTCGCACACACCACACACCACCTTACACCACACACACCACACCTCATACACCACAAACTCCACACCTCATACACACACACCACGACCCCACACCTCATACACCACACACCACGCCCCACACCTCACACACAACGCCCCGCATCCCGAACCTCACACCCCACCTCAAACCCACATTCCACATCCCACCACATCATGCGTCACACACCACACCACCACACCTCAAACACCACACACCTCGCACCGCACACACCACTCTACACAACACACAACCCACCTCCACTAAACTGATACAACGCGATACATATGTCGAATACTGTAAAAGCAGCGTAAAAACAATCTCGTGTGTACCAGACTGGCCACTGAATGGTAAGTGATTTGGTGATCTGTAGAACATCAACTACTGCTAAAGTCGCGGGGGAAATCTAGAGCGTCATATGATGTGGTGTTTCTGTGTAGGAGATCCAATAGCTGTAGCTTGGACATCTGTTCCTGGGTGTTCTTTCTTTAAGTGTCATGTATATAATGTCCTGTTCCAGTATTGCCGACTCCCAGCGCGGACTCCTCATGCCGCTGTCGAAGGGCAACCGCGTCAATGAAGTCAAGAACTCGGTGTTTATTGGCATGTCGGACAACTTGGGTGTCGGCAATACGTACAGTGTGTGGAGGTTTAAAGGGCCAGTGAAACCACTTCACAAGTTCAGCAGATCATATCCGGACAGGAAACCGTGAGTAGATATCCACTATCTCGGCTAATAATGTCACGTTGTCCCAATGTTAAGCTTTCGTTGTTACGACGTTCTTCTGTGGCCTCGCCATATAGCTGGAATATTGGTGAGTGCGGCGTAAAACTAAACTCACTCACTCACTTCTTCTGTGGCCTGACGTTGTAATACGTTTTACGGCCACAAGGTAAAGTTGTCTTGTGCTATTTAGCGTTAATAGTTGAACAGTTTTCCCGGCACTGAACAGTACACAAGAACAAGCAGAAATTCACCTCAATGTTTGTTCGTCAAATTGCATGTTTTGGTCGTGTGGTTTTAGAAGCTGTAGCTGAATAGTGACGAAAGAGCCTCAAAGTGAAATGTTTTCAGAAAACTCTGACACCATGTTATAAGAAACGTAATAACATTGTGAGGAACCCAAAGCATGAAGCTTCCTCAACGTAAATTTGCGTAAATTTGACGTAATAGTATAATGTCGTGACAACGTTGTGCCATGACGTCACCAATCTACAACCTTCCCACAACGTTGCGAAAACGTATTGTGTTAGCTGGGATGTGTTAGTTGGGATGTGTTAGTATTGTGTTAGCTGGGATGTGTTAGTATTGTGTTAGCTGGGATGTGTTAGTATTGTGTTAGCTGGGATGTGTTAGTATTGTGTTAGCTGGGATGTGTTAGTGAAATTAGTGAATCGTATTGGTAAAGTCACTTAAGAGTCATGGGTAATCACATTTCAACATACAGTACGGCCTCCACTAAGAGCCACTTCAGCAAGATCAGAACATACGCATGATTAGAATGACAGTTCTGAACATCGAACACACCACTTCGAACATTTGTAGGGGTGGTAGGGTAGCCTAGTAATTAAAGCGTTGTCTCATCACACCCGGGTTTTATTCCCCACAATGGGTACAATATGTGAAGCCCATTTATGGTGTTCCCCATCGTGATATTGCTGGAATAATACTAAAAGCGGCGTAAAGCCATAATTACTCGCTCAACATTTGTAAATTTCGCATATCTTTTGGAATTCAGTAATATATATGTTAACGAATGACTATTACCTGTATAGGGGCGTCCGTAAACGTTGCAGATTCTAATACCTTTCGGCATGGACTTACAGTAACAAATTATCAAAAATGCAAATTCAACTTATAAAGATGAAATATAACGCGATGAATAAAACCCCGCGAAATCGGAGTTCAAACGATTCACTAATTTCACCCCAGCGCTGGGGTGAAAAGTGGTTTCAACAGCTGTGCTGCGCTGCACCCACAGCGCATGCGCAGTGATTAGGTTTGCGCGGCTTGAACCGGGAAGGCGACTCGTAAAACACAGCAAGTGATGCGTGCAAAGATATTCGCTGTGGTCGAGTTTTGGAGAACAAAAGATGTTTTTCTGTGATTACAAGCATCTTTGGTCTGCAGTAATGAAAATACACTGGTCCGATACTTTTTCTTATGTTTTCACATTTTGCTTTGGGGGGGTTGGCAGATTTGTAAACCAAGTTTTCAAGAAAATGTACCTTTAGAAATACTAATTTCTTTGCTAAAAATTGCTCAGTTTGAAAACTGAAATTTTGTAATACATGTATATGGGAACATGGAAAAATATGTTGATTGTGATAAGCAGTCTGTCACAGACAAAACTCGGTGTCTGTTTTATTGACACCTATGTGTCTGCGTGTCTGCTAATGACAATATGCAATACACAACTTCAATCATTGACCACATGCAGTTTGAACTTGAAACGTATCAGGCTATACACCATAAAAAATACATTGATTTATGGCTCGTGCACCAGAGTTCTGTCTCTGCCACATTATGTAATTACACAGACAGGCAGGTGTGATACTCGTACACATGACACATGTTATTATGTCTGTAGGTTACAAACAAACTGCATCCATTTTGGATGACTGGATCGGACGGAAACCGGTGCAAACTCAGATTGTCAGATTCAAGTCCTGCTTTGTACTTGGACGAACAACAGTTTCCAGCCACGAAGTAGTTCACCATCTCAGTAGTTGATTGGATCGAAGGCAAATGCAGAAAAAATGAGCATGTATTTACAAAACCCAACATCTCTACACACGCACGCACACACGCACACACGCACACGCGCACCCACACGCGCGCACAGCGTATCGGCAAAATGAACCAGCAAATGAAAGTCATCGTTACACGTGAGTGCACACCCACCCACTCTGACCCGTGGGAAGTAAACCCAAGTACAAAATATTGCACTTTCGATTTTCTGATTTTACGCTTATAAGTTTGTTTATTTGGGTTTTCATAATCAGAAATGTATTTTATATGTCACGAATAAATGATAATTGTTTTAATTTTGTTTGTTTTTTTGGTTGACTGTGACCTTTAACCCTGCAGCAGACTGTTTTTTACCTGAGGAAAGTGAAGCTATGCAACTATAAGAGGGCAACTGTGTCTCACAATACCTGCCCCTACATAGCACTGAGTTAGTGTGACTGTCATCAACTCGACCTATACCTTAAAGGCACAATGTCACACATTTTCGTCGATATTTGGGTCTATATTATATATATTGGGGCATATGCACTCACTTTAGCTTCCTACTGACGCAATAAAAGAGTTATTATCCCTTACGACTTGCCTGAAATCGTTAATTGAAATTTCGAGGCGAACAGCTTCCAAACGGAGAACAGTTGCCATATATGGAATGTAAACAATTGCTGGGTACATCAAAAATTGTCGCACGCGGTGTTGTCGGTGTTTTCCGAACTGGTTTCAATAACGAATTGCGCGTATATGTTTGTGCCAGACATTTGCGTCATTTTGTCTAGGACTGAGTTCTGTCTCCAAAGGAGTTATAGGATATTCCTAAAGAACGCCCCAAGGGACATAACTCTACGGGATTCACTTGACATAATATTCGGCCGGTAGAGGGCGTGAGTCGATTTAATGCAACGTTGCATTAATTCATTCAAACTTTTTAATTTAATATTCTAATATAAATACGTCATTTGTTTGGAATAAATTATATTGTAGCTTCCTTGAGCGCTGATAGCTAGTATGATAGAGAGAAATGTATTATTTCTTTTCAGAGAAGTCTGGTGTGAAATACTGCCCTTAAATATGACTCGTAATTATGCATACTCAGTCTTATCCTATATAATTCATACATCACCTTATAAAATAGTGTACAATTATTGTGATATGTATTATTTGTTCAACCCAGAACAGATCCTGTGCAAGGCTTCGTCTTCTACAACGGCCCGACCTTCGTCACCAACTGCTACTTCAACGACTTCTATCACTGGCGCTGGAACACTACATGGGATAAAGTCTTCAAAATCCCTGGGTATCGAACTGGTGGCGCCCTTGGTTTCAAGAGAACCAATATGCCAGTCTTCAATCCCAGAAGCACAGTGTCCGGTCTTAAGTTTGGATTCTGTGATAAGGTAGGTTGGTACTCTCATGGTAAGGTACCCTATATACCTCATGTCAAACATGAAACCATCTAGTCCCCTACTGTAGTCAGTAATTACCCAGGTATGTTCACAAAGACTGAAACCTGTGAAGAAACCGGGTTAGAATTGGCCTTCAACCCATGCTTGTCGTAAGAGGCTACTAACGGGATCAGATGGTCAGGCTTGCAGACTTGGTTGACACTTGTAGATCGATGCTCATGCTGTTGATCACTGGAATATCTTGTCCAGACTTGGTAATATCGATAAAACACAAGACTGAAACTTTGTGTGTTTGTACTACATTAAACATATTTCAGTAGTAATTTGGAGGAATTTGTGATGGTCAAATATAGAGGTTTATTACAGATTGGTTTGAAAGTTCATACACAAACCATATCTGGTCTTATAGTTCCGTCGTGTCCTGTTTGAATTGTGCCAACCCACCAAATGAGATGAATACTGTCCAGTATACTATTACTACAGTCACATTATGTGTTTTTCCATGCAAACCCTCTCTTCCCAACAGTCTGAAGGAAACAGAGTATTCGACGGCAACAACACCACCCCAGGATTTGAGAGGGACGGCGAGGGGAAACAGCAAGCATCGTTTTACGACGCTGACGGTAGCGTGACGGGCATGTCCAACTCCCAGGTCGTCAAGAACAACCCGTTTCTTACCACACGCAAGTGTTCTTTGAGGGAGAACTGGAATATGACCGTATGCCCTTACAAATATGTGAAGGTGAGCTGTTGATGTGATATCATTAACAACTAAGAAACTGAAATTCACATACAGAAGATCCACCATTGGTCCTGATCATTGTGAATTACAACCGTGAAGAATAGTAATCCATGTTTGTCGTTAGAGGCGACTAACGTGATTGGGTTGCCAGGCTCGCTGACTTGATTGATGTATGTCTTCGTATCCCAGTTGCGTAGATCGATGCTCACGATATTGATCACTGGTTTGTCTAGTTTAGGCTAGATTTTCACAGTCTTCCGCTATATAGCTGGAATATTGGTGAGTGCGGCGTAAAACAACAAACAAAATAATTCCAAGAGGTACTCAACCCACATTAAGCTAATAGTCCGCAGAAAAGCTGAATATTACATGGAACTTTTAGGCCAATTCAGTTTGCTGCCAGCTTATCTTGTGTTACGATAGTTTAGAACCAGTAAAGAGATCCGGGTTGGAACAGATTTTCAGTAACCCATGCTTGTCGTAAGAGGCGACTAACGGGATCGGGTGGTCAGGCTATCTGACTTGGTTGACAAATGTCATCGTATCCCAATTGCATAGATCGATGCTCATGCTGTTAATCACTGGATTGTCTGGTCCAGACGTGATTAGTTAGACCACCGCCATATAGCTGGAATATTGCTGAGTGCGGCGTAAAACTCAGCTCACTCACTCGCTCACGATATTTTAGAATACATGTCATGGGATTTTGCTAATGACTCCATGTCCTCTTTTCTTCAAGATTAACATTTTTACCGATATTTGGAGACGGAGCAAGGAGCCTGTAACCTTCATCCGAGATGACGCCCATGAACACCCATTCGCAATGAACAGTGAGTTCCCTTCTTTTATGTTGTACGTAACCGTCAATTTGTTCTGTCGATACACAGCAAAACATTAACATCAATCACCAGTGTTATTTAGTGTCCGCCCGGAGAGCGGAAGGTAGCGGATTCGATCCACGACTGCGTCATACCAAAACAAGTTAAAATATGGTACTTGTTGGTCCCTGTCTGGCGCTTGGCATTAATGGGTATAACAGGACTGGTCGTCTCGGAGTCAGTATAATGTGTCTGACTTGGGTATTCATGCTTAACTGCGGCATGGTATCTCAGTGAGCTAGCTCTACAAAACCAGCTTCTGTCTGGGCTAGTACAAGCAGCCACACATATACACGCATGCACGTCGTCATATGAGCAAAATAATCTTAAATGCGACGTTAAACCCCATTTCGGGGCGGTGGGGTAGCCTAGTGGTTAAAGCGTTCGCTCGTCACGCCGAAGGACCGGGTTCGATTCCCCACATGGGTACAATTTGTGAAGCCCATTTCTGGTGTCCCCCGCCGTGATATTGCTGGAATATTGCTAAAAGCGGCGTTAAACCCAACTCACTCACTCACTCACTAAACCCCCCCATTTCACCTCACCTCACCTCACCTCACCTCACCATTGGGGCGGTGGGGTAGCCTAGTGGTTAAAACGTTCGCATGTCACGCCGAAGGCCCGGGTTCGATTCCCCACATGGGTACAATTTGTGAAGCCCATTTCTGGTGTCCCCCGCCGTGATATTGCTGGAATATTGCTAAAAACGGCGTAAAACCATACTCAGTCAGTCAGTCACCTCACCATTGATATTTTCTCAGGAAATCAGGGCAGAGGATATCATTTCATGATTCACAAGACCTACACCGTCCATTTCAACAAGACAGTGCCTAAGCAGTTCAAGATGGTGGCGTTAAACATGGAGAAGTGAGTAATCTGTTGATATTGTCGTAGATGTGGATCTGCCACGTTGTGTTTATCCCCACTACTAATTTCCTCCACAATTTAGCCTCGACCATAGTTGACATCAGTTTGGCTGTGCCAAATTACCAGTGTCCAGACAGGAGTCGTGCTTTGCGTTTCATGCTGAAATTACATACTGTCACAGCACTTTGACGTTATTAATGCTCTATAGTAAAGTCAATCATAGGTTTCAAATTGGGACATTTTTTATAATTATGGTAAAAACAGATTTGAAGTACACGTCCGGTTTCAAAGTCCAGTAATAGAAACTCTAGGTAGCTCAGATCTATGTGTGGAACCAATCGTTTGAGGTTTACCTGCAGTTAAAATTTCTAACAGGAATACAGTCTGAGCCAAATGGTTTTGTCAGTATGTGATATGATGTATTCTATGCGCTCAGGTATGATGCATCACTGTTCGTGACTCTGAAGATTAGAATTGGTCTTCAGCAACCCATACTTGTAAGAACTGCCTAACGGGATCAGATGGTGAGGCTCGCTGACTTGGTTGACACATGTCATCGGTTCCCAATCGGAGGTTGATGCTCATGCTGTTGCTCACTGGATTGTCTGGTCCAGACTCAATTATTTAGAAACCACTACCGTATAGCTGGAGTGCGGCGTTAAACAACAAATAAACCAAAAAAAAGCAATCAAAACAAAACTGTGTTTGTACTTCAGAGGAGACGTTATTCGTGTCGGCGTATGCATGCCTAAAGACATGACGACATTTGAGCTGTCCAGCAGATACCCTTTCTACAACAAATGGAGGCCACCGCGAGAAGTCGCCACTATACAGGAACTGGATGCTGATACTTCCGGTACGGCGTACTTCTGGGACAAACAAGTTGGGTAAGTTTCAGGTCACTCACGTGTACGCCGATAAATTTTGACTTCATCACAATTTACATTGCAAACTAACGTTTGTATTTCTTTTCAAACATGTCTGTAGTAAGGGACATAATTGCTCGTATTCCTCACTTGATCACTTGCTATCTCTATTTCACAGCATGGTCTTCATCAAGCTGATGTCAAATGAGACTCGAACTGAGAGGCAGATGCTGTGCCCCAATGGAAAATGTCCACACTTCAACCTCGTGAGAAGAGATGGAGGCAGTATTGCAGACTGTCGGCAATCGGCGTATGGACCTTACGTCAGACAACCAGAGGTACTGAATATAAGCTGAATATAAATACTCTTCAAAAGAACTAGAAGAAGTTCATTTCTAATTTACGATTGAAAATATGGGAGATATGTCAATCAATGTCCATATGATAATGTTTCGAGAGTGCATCGCCACTTGCACTTCCCTATAACCATAGTTGTTTGTACAGTCATCGCTCTTGAAAGATGATTGGTGTATGACGTGAAATTTGCATGTGTACAATTTTCATTTTAAAAAAAACTGGCTTGAGACAAACAACTGTGTGATACAAGATGATTGTCAAAATTAATGGTCAACAGTGATTGATCGACCTCCTTGAAAACACCCCGTGCACGTGTATTGAGCTACTGCGTTGTGCACGTGCATCTCATGCGTTGTGTTTAGTGGTGGTGATAAAGAGAAATTTTGGTGCGTTCATAAGATGTCTGTGTTTGAAACGTTTGTAAAGCTTATACTCCCTATCAAACTAAAAGTTTATGTTCCCCTACTTTTCTTAAAGAGTATATACTGATGTAAAGCTACACTGGTTCTGTGTTATGTGAGTGAGTTTAGTTTTACGCCACAATCAGCAATATCCCAGCTATATGGCGGCGGTCTGTAAATAATCGAGTCTGAGCATATATTTGCGCAATTGGGAAGCGATGACATGTGTCAACCAAGTCAGCGAGCCTGACCACCCGATCCCGTTAGTCGCCTCTTACGACAAGCATGGGTTACTGAAGATTAATATTCTAACCCGGACCTTCACGGGTGTGTTTTGTGTAAGGCTAGGGGATAACATTTGTTGTAATGTTTCACAATTGCTACATTCAGGGCTGATCTGTATTATGCAAATCTTTGTCCAGGACGCAATAGAGACCACAGCGCCCCCTTGTGTCAAGGCATCATCACAGGTAGGTAACTCTGTAATGGAACTCAACTGTATCGGGTCCATGTGTGTATCACGGAACGAGTAAGTGTGTGGGCTAGGTTTGCCGTCGCTTGAATAATCACACTAGCTAGTACTGTTACAACACAACAGTGTCAGTTGAATGACCAGATTATCCATGGTTTACAACCGTGATGAGCATCCACCAGCACGTGTAATGTGCTGGGGGCGATGGGGTAGCCTGGTGGTTAAAACGTTTGCTCGTCACGCCGAAGACCCGGGTTCAATTCCCCACATGGTAACAGTGTGTGGGGCCCATTCCTGGTGTCCCCTACCATGATATTGGAGAGATATTGCTAAACGCGGCGTAAAACTGAACTCGCTCACTCTCTGTAAGGTGCTTGCAGACTAGTAGTGAATATCGTGCTGATTCCCGGATTCAATAACCCGACCCTCATTTTGTTAGTTGTTGTTGAATGCCGCTCTCAGCAATATTCCAGCTATATGGCGACGGTCTGTAATTAATCGAGTCTGGACCAAACAATCAAGTGATCAACAGCATGAACATCGATCTAAGTAATTGGCATACAATGACACATATGTCAACCAAGTCGGCGAGCCAGACACTCGATCCCGTAAGCCTGTTCTTACAAGAAGTATGGGTTACTGAAGACCAATTATAACCCGTATTTTCACAGGTCCTCGATCCTCACATCCGAACAAATTTGTTGGATGTATTACAGATCATATTACTGAATATGTTCCACATTGATACACCAAGAAAGGTTTCCATAACTGACCAAAGACATCATAATGTGGCAATGTTGTAAATATATTTTGTTTTCTCCAAAAGGGCTTAGGCGCCGGTGAGACTCGACGTACGACTGTTCCGCTGACCAGTGACAGAGGGGATGACCATTGTCCACCGCCTGCTGAACCAGGTAGCGTGACACGTGTCCTCAGCTAGACAAGGGCACGATAGACTCACCCTAAGATTAAGTTAGAACTGTTTAATGTTTGGAACTAATTAGAACCTTTCTACCCCACACTGCTTTCAATACACTTATTCCTCAAGTAAGTTATTCACCCACCCATGGAGATCCGTGTTGGAATTCAGTAACCCATGCTTGTCGTAAGAGGCGACTAACGGGATCGAGTGGTCAGGCTCGCTCACTTGGTTGACACTTGTCATGGTATTCAAATAACTTCGGTCGATGCTCATGATGCCAAACACTGGATTGTCTGGTCCGGACTCGATTATTTACAGACCGCCCCCATTGGTGAGTGGGGCGTTGAGCAACAACATTCAGTTGTGACTCAGTATCGTCAACACTGAAGATGTGTATCGATTGGATGTGTGTTTTGAGAGTTTGGTCCAATGTTCTTGGTCTGGTATGTTCACAAGTGAGTCTAGCTGGTCCTGCTCTGACTATACAGGTATATACCCAGTCGGGAAACCCAGGGGACATTCTGTCGTGGGTATATATGTAATAATATGTAATTAACCGTTGTGTGTTTCAGCATCAGAACCACTCTCCAGTCAGTCCCGAGGATGCGCTGTTGACAACTGGCGGAGGGACATGAATGGCATGACAATGCAGCTCCACCAATCCATGACCAGGGGGTTCTGTGTCAAGAGATGTGGTCAGAATGGCTACAGATATGCTGGCGTTCAGTACAGCTTTGAGTGTCGGTGTAGTAACAGTTTCGGCCTCTACGGGTCTGGTGAGGGTTGTACCAGGGAGTGCAGCGCGAAGAATGGGCTCTCCTGTGGGGGCGGCTGGAGGAATGAGGTGTTTGCCACCGGTGCAGGTGAGTCTGTCGAGTTTGAATCCGTTTGACCTGGCATACAAATGACTTTGATGTGGATACATGTCTGAATGTCTTGCAGGATCTTTACAGAAGTATACACAAAGAACTTAGTTAAGCACCCCTTGACATATCTCACGACATGAATGAGCCCCGATCTTAACCCTTTGGAGGGGATCCTCCTGTACAGAACCTGACCCAGTTGGAAACTGCTTTAGACGAGGAATGGTGTAGACTGGCCCTTCAGAGGATCAGGAGACTGATAGAGGGTATGAGGAGGAGGGTGCTGGCTGTCATACAGTCACATGGAGGTTACACTCGGTATTGACCTTGAAACGTGTATTGACAGTTTGAATGTTCACATTCACCAATAAATTCAACATTAAACATTCCAGGGTCATACTTGTACAGACATGGTTTTGTATGGAAACCATAATGTCAACATGGATTCCAATCATCTTGTCGTTTTCTTATGAGTCAGAGGATCATATGGGTAAGAAAAACTCGTATATTTTCATCGTGGTCACCACGAGACGTTTTATGTACATGTTGAAAATTGCATGAATTGTATCATATATATTCCGTCTTAAACGTAACAATTACATTTCTATAGAAAAGCAAGAGTGTGTTTAGAGATATGTTACCTTTCGTTGCATTGTTCAGAGTTATACTTTCAGCTTCATGAAGAATGGCGACTTAAGCTCTTACAGCTTGTTCAGCTTGACCTGAGCTACTCTACATATGCATGACCCATATGAGGTCAAATGGCACAAACGGCAGATCGGGTTATCTTCATTAAATAGGGTGCAGAGAATGTTATTTAATGTTGCGTCCGTGCGAAGCATGCATGCATAGATTCGTTACAGAATTTGGTCAGGTCAAGCTGAACAAGCTGTAGTTGAAATGCGTTATGTGTGGCGTAATAACTCTATCTTCAGTTGCTGCCAGTGCATGGCCAAGCTGTGGTCCGAGATCTCGCGGTATTGTCTCTGGTGGAAAGTGCTATTATGTTGGCGACGATCGACTCAACTTCATTTATGCTCAACGCGCATGCGTCAAGATGGGCGGTAACCTGGCAACTTTGTCCTCAGCAGCTCAACATGTAGGTGTTGAAACAATGATTGATTTCCTTGTCGGGATCCGGAACAAGATTATTAAATCGCTTGCCGTAAAAGTGAGTGAGTTTAGGTTTACGCCGCACTCAGCAATATTCCAGCTATATGGCGGGGTCTGTAAAAAATCGGGTCTGGACAATCCAGTGATCACCAGAATGAACATCGATCTACGTTGGGATACGATGACATGTGTCAACCCAGTCAGCGAGCCTGGCTACCCGATCCTGTTAGTCGCCTCTTACGACGAGCAGGAGTTACTGAAGATCAATTCTAACCCGGATCTTCACAGGTCCTGACGCTAAGTGAGGTTTGCCGTTAAATGCAACTCAGATCTTTGCGCTGGCCGACCTTTTACGTCTTTTACGCCGTCTTCACGCCGTCTTCACAGACCGTCTTCACAGACCGTCTTCACATAGCTTGAAGAAGCGGTGGGGTAACCTAGTGGTTAAAGCGTCCGCTCGCCACGCCGAAGTCCTCACATGCGTACAATGTGTGAAGCCCATTTCTGGCGTCCACAGCCGTGATATTACTGAAATATTGCTTAAAACGACGTAAAACTAAACTCACTCACTCACATACCTTGAATAGCATTGTCTGTTGATTTAAAGATGATGCTTTTTTGTTTTAGTTTGGATGAGATCTTCTTGTGATGAAGATAAATTGTTTTATAAAATGAATTCCGCTGTTTTACAAAAAGAATTAGCAAATGCACTTTATAATATTTTACGGCAAATGGCGGAATGTTATTTTCAATGTATATCTAATTTATGCATTTTCAGAATTTTGCAACCCATGTGCTTATCATGGTTATTTTAAAAATCTCCTGGGATCGGGTGGTTTTTTCTTTCTCTTTTTGTTGTTTCTTCGAGGAGTCTCATGCTGTTGATTTCAGTGAGTCTTATCTACAATCTGCCTAAATCGGCCATATTATATTCTATTATTTGTGTAACATTAATGTAACTTATAATGTATTTATAGTGTCTCGTTCTTTCCCTTGTATGGCTGGACGCACTTCCTTTAAACTTATGTTTTATGAGATTCATATTCTATTCTTTTACTGTACCAAATGTTGTGTATTGTGACACTTTCGTAAAACCTTTTTACTACTACTACCTACCACTACCACCACATTTTACCACACTACCACCATTTTACCACTACCACCACTACCACCACTACCACTACCACTACCACCACTACCACTACTACCACTACATCATCGCGGACACCCTGGGGCCCTTTCGCTAACAATGGCAATGCGTGTCAATTGTCAGGTCGGTGCGCAACTTATCCTTGTTTGCCAGTAGTAAGTAGCCAGAAGGTACGTCTGTGGGTAGTGATGTTGCATTGTCTATTGTAAGTGATGTATCATGCATTGCAATACTGTTCATTGAAACCCTCGAGTATGACAGCTGGCGACCTCAGTACTACTGTAAGCATGTATGTTGATTTGTTTAGACTGAAATCAAGGCATACCTTGGGCAGAGTAAGTTTCACATTTGGATCGGCTTGACGGATATTGCTAAAGAAGGAGCCTTCATCTTCATGGACGGCACACCGGCTACATATCTCAACGACCTCAAACCCGACGATAAAAGAATCTACGACGACTTTGTCGGTACGGTAAATTCCTACAGTTAGCTTTAGATCGCTTTATCGGAGAAAGAACAGGATCATCTAATTTACGAAAACAAGAGGCGAATAGGTTCCAAACATGGAACACCTGCCACATATGTAGTGTAAACAATTGCTCCGCACAATGAAAAGTGTCGCACGCACTGTCGGTGTTTGCCGAACTGGTTTCAATCACATTTGTTTGGATGATATTTGTAAAGGGCGCTCCAAGGGACATAACTCTATGGGGTTTACTTGTTTGGCCGGTAGGGGGCGCAAGAGTCGATTTAATGCAGCTTTGCATTAATTCATTCGAACATTTTAATCTAATATTGTAATCTAAATACATGATTTTTGTTCTTTTCTTTTTATTTATTTTAATTTCTTATATATATATAAATAAATAAATATTTTTTTGGGTGGGTGGGGATAAATTATATGGTAGCTTGCCTGAGGGCTGATAGTATTATTGAGAGAAATGTTAATTATTTTTAAAGAAGTGTGGTGTGAAGTAGTGCCTTTAAGCACAGTATCACCAACGTCAGCAACTTTGATGTTTCGAGGATAGGAACAAAGACTTGTATCAAGTCAACGTCTTGGATGTTACAGTTATGGACGTGGGTATAGGCTACAAGTGGCGTGGTCGTCGATGGCAACACGAAAACCGTTATCTATGTCAGCTGCCAGTGACCCAAGCAAGCACTCCTTTTGGTAAGGAATCGGTAGAACGAGTAGACGGTTGCACATGTAGACCAGATATTGTGTATACAAAAGAAGTTGTATTTACTTCAAGTCTCTTGTAAAAACGGTTAACGGTCGTCACGCTGAAGACCCTGGCTCGATTTCTCCACATAGTGTAAGACCATTTCTTGTGTACTCGCCATGATATTGCTGAACTATTCTGAATGCAACGTAACACTTAACTCACTCACTCACTATTTGTGTCATCAGTCATCATTTTTCTTTTGGTTCCAATCCCTGCAGTTCAAACCTGTGAAGGTCCGGGTTAGAATGAACCTTCAATAACCCATTCTTGTCGTAAGAAGCGACTAACGGGATCAGGTGGTCAGGCTCGCTGGCTTGGTTGACAGTCATCGGTTCCCAATTGCGCAGATCGATGCTCATGCTGTTGATCACTGAATTGTCTGGTCCAGACTCGATTATTTACAGACCTCTGCCATATAGCTGGAATATTGCTGAGTGCGGCGTAAAACTAAACTCATTCACTGCAGTTTGCCATAGCTGTGTTGGGCGGTGGGGTAGCCTAGTGGTTAAAGCGTTGGCTCGTTACGCCGCAGACCTGGGTTCGATTCCCCACATGCGTACAATGTGTGAAGCCCATTTCTGGTGTCCCGTGCCGTGATGTTGCTGGAATATGCTAAAAGCGGCGTGAAACTAAACTCACTTTCTCATTATAAAAAAAAATAACAGTATTCTGACAATCAGTGAAAAAGCAAAACAACAAAGCAAAATATAAAAGTGATTCAATGTCGACAAAATCGTGGATGGGCATGGCTATTGTCCATGAAATCCGAAAGGAGGACTCCACTATCCCCGTCTGTGCTTTCATGTCCTAGCTTCAAACCCGGACTGATTCCAGTAGTAGTCCAACATACCACTTTATCCTCATTCTGTTTTCATAACTATTTTCGGAAGAACTCGAAAAGGAATTTTGGGTGTTGCGTTTTCAGTGTGTTTGTGTATATTATTGTTTTCAAGATCAGTAAGGAGCGGTGGGGTAGTCTAGTGGTTAAAGCGTTGGCTCGTCACGCTGAAGATCCGGGTTCGATTCCCCACATGGGTAGAGTGTGTGAAGCCCATATCTGGTGTCCCCCGCCGTGATGTTGCTGGAATATTGCGAAAAGCGGCGTAAAACCAAACTCACTCACTCACTCAAGATCGGTAAACGCGTTATATTGTCCACGGATTGCTTGACGGCCGTCATTAAGCTGGAATATTGCTGAGTAAACTAAACTCGCTCAGTGGATTGCTTGGTCTGTTGATCACTTGATTGTCTGGTGTATTGTCAGACCGCCGCCGCATGACAGGTGTACTGCTGTTCGCTGTGAAGCAATAGTTACTGTTTCAGTCGGTGGTGTAGCCTAGTGGTTAGAGCGTTCTCTCGTCACGCCGAAGACGCAGGTTCGATTCCCCACATGCGTACAATGTGTGAAGCCCGTTTCTGGTGTCGCCAGCCGTGATATTGCTGGAATATTGCTAAAAGCGCCGTAAAACTAAACTCATTCACTCACTCATTTCAGTCAACCCGGGTTGATCTAGGTTACAATTGGTCTTCAGTAACCCATGCTTGTCGTATGAGGCGACTAACGGGATCAGATGGTCAGGCTCGCTGGCTAGGTTAACACGCCATTGCATCCCAATGATGTTAATGATACTGATCACTGGATTGTCTGGCTCAAACTCGACTGACAGACCGCCGCCATATAGCTGGAATATTGCTGAATGCGGCGTTGAATAACAAACAAACATTGCGAATGGCGGGTGTTACCGCCAGGGCAGGACGTGCCTACCCCTTTACCGAACACCTGGTGTCATCATTGATTTTTCAGTGGTCAGTTCATAGAAATGTTCACAGGTATGTTGTTGACCCTTTAGCTGAGGATTGTCAAGACTGGTGACGTGTGGGATTGACGTTTGTTATTGTTTTACGCCGCACTCAGCAATATTCCAGCTATATGGCGGCGGTCTGTAAATAATCGAATCTGGACCAGACAATCCAGTGATAAACATCGGATTCGACATAAATCAACCAAGTCAGTGAGCCTGACCACCCGATGCCATCAGTCGCCTCTTATGACAAGCATGGGTTACTGAAGACCAATTATAACGCAGATCTTCACGGGTAACGTTTTTCATTAACATTTTCCATTAACATTATAGAAGTAAAGCTATCCCCTATTTATCAGTACGCTGCGGACCTAACGGTGACGGACACAAACTGGACAGCAACGGTAGGTGCTACATCATCCTCAACACCAGAACTGACCACGACACAGCAGAGTACCAGTGTTTAACTCGCCAGGGAGTGCTTCCCACCGTCGCAGATGACGCCACACAGGTTTGTTGCAATATACAGATTCGTTTAAAGCTTGTTAAGTTTTGGGGCGGTGGGGTATCCCAGTGATTAAAGCGTGTTCTCATCATACTGAACACCCGGGTTCGATTCCCCATATGAATACAATGTGTGAAGCCAATTTGTTCTGTTCCCTGACGTGATATTGCTGGTATATCGCTAACAGCGGCGTAACTCCATACTCACTCACTCACTCCATGAGTTTTCGTCTAATGTCAGACTTCAGGGTCCTTGGATCAGATGAAAGGATTGTTTATAATGTGGAAATATTACTCTGTATGCGATGATGAAACGATAACGTGGTCCCCCATCTGATAAAAGGGAAACAACATGGATTGCTTAGTGTTGTAAGAATGGTACTATTAGGATGATTCTTGTCATTTGTTCCATTAAAACTGAAGCCTGTGTACTGGGCGAGACGTTACGTGTTTGACAGTGTGGTGTATATACATATCATCTTGTGTAGCGAGAGATCAGGAACCAGCTGCTGGCATTCGGCGCCGACATGGACTACTGGACGAACGAGGTTGTGGTCGACAGTGATGACGCCGACGTGGGTGTTGACACTTATTACGGTGAGAACATTCGTAACTTATGAGGTAAATATTCATAGTGAGAATTTGTTACCACATTTAACTCCATATCATCAAGATGGATTTAACCTTTTGCCGTTCATGCGTTTTTCTTTTTGACTTTATTCTTTGAAAGCCGTAAAACATGCCAAAACACACAGAAACGTTGTTACTCGTTATAAAGTCTCCTTAATCTTGAAGACCGCCTCCGTGGTGTAGTGGTTAGAGCTTCCGCCCGGAGAGCGGAAAGTCGCGGGTTCGATCCCCGACCGCGTCATACCAAAAGACGTTAAAATATGGTACTTGTTGGTCCCTGCCTGGCGCTCGGCATTAATGGGTATAACAAGGACTGGTGGCTCGGAGTCAGTATAGTGTGTCTGAGTGGGGTATTCATGCTTCACTGTGACATGGTATCTCAGTGGGCTAGCACTATAAAACCAGCTGAAGACTGGGCTAGTACAAGCACCCGCACATACACATACACACGCATGCACGTCGTCATATGAGCGAAATATTCTCAAGCACGACGTTAAACCCAATTTCACCTCACCTTTAATCTTGAACATGGCCTTTTTCACGTCTGTGAGTGGTTTGAAAGAATACTAATGACAACTTTATATAGATAACCCCTCCTTTAATAAAATACAGATTCTTGTACCTCTGCCAAGCAGTGCGACCTTTCGATATAGACTCTTGTGTCGTCAGGCAGTTCGACGTGAAGATTTCGGGTTAGAATTGATCTTCAGTAACCCATGCTTGTCGTAAGAGACAACAAACGGGATCGGGTGGTCAGTATCGCTGACTTGGTTGACACATGTCATCGTATCCCAGCTGCGTAGATCGAAGCTCGTGTTGTTGATCACTGGATTGTCTGGTTTCGGCTCGATTATTTACAGACCTCAGCCATATACCTGCAATATTGCTGTGTGCGGCGTAAAACTAAACTCAATCAATGAGATAAGACTTGATCTTTCGTCACTTCATCGATCGTATATAGAATGAGGGTCAAACATTGTATGGAGGTCGCTGCAAGCTTCGATATTTAATTCTTAAAGCCTTTCTAGTTCATGTCTAATTGGGGCGGTGGGGTAGCCCAGTAGTTATAGTGTTGGCTCGTCACGCCGAAGGATCGCGTTCGAATCCCCACATGGGTACAATGTGTGAAGCCCATTCCTGGTATCCCCCGCCGTGATGTTGCTGGAATATTGCTAAAACGGCGTAAAACCATACTCAGTCATGTCAAAGGTCTTATCAACAAGCATTTCACTATATTAGCGTTGTCGTGTAACATTTATCTGCAGAGTTCTAGCTTGCATGATAACATATTCGGAGCTGATAAACTACATTTATACATGTACCTAGAATTCTTCGGTGCCACCATGAGGAATATATTTTGACTTATGAGAGGGCGGATTTCTTTTCAGTTTTTAAATATCTGCGACCTGTGAAAATAGATTTCATGACTGTAAAAGATGATTTTATGCCGAAGATCAAGGTTCGGTTCCATCTGTAGTCGAAGACGTCTAGTATGTTTTGCAACATCTCCATGCACTGAGTGTCCGATATACTGAGACTTTGCTTCCAGAAAAGTGAATATCACTTTGCGACCGCAGATGTTTAAGAATGTAAAATATGATATTCTTTGAAACCAAATCAAAAGTGAATATCGTCCCAGGAAGTTGAAACAGCCATAAAAGACATGAAATCAGGTAAAGCAGCTGGTCCGGACGGCATCAAAGCAGCTGGTCCGGACGGCATCAAAGCAGCTGGTCCGGACGGCATCAAAGCAGCTGGTCCGGACGGCATCAAAGCAGCTGGTCCGGACGGCATCAAAGCAGCTGGTCCGGACGGCATCAAAGCAGCTGGTCCGGACGGCATCAAAGCAGCTGGTCCGGACGGCATCAAAGCAGCTGGTCCGGACGGCATCAAAGCAGCTGGTCCGGACGGCATCAAAGCAGAGATGGTGAAATCATGTGCTGATCTTTTAATTCCATATCTAGTTACTGTATATAATACCATCGTGACTAAAGAAGAATATCCTGCTGAATGGGCCAAGAGTTTAATCGTACCACTCCACAAGAAAGGCGACATTAACTCGGTCAACAATTACGGAGGTATCTCACTCATGGACATTTTCGGGAAAATATTTTGTTCTATTCTAAACAACTGTCTACAAACATTTGCAGCACTTTATGACAAGATTCCAGAAAATCAAGCAGGATTTAGGAAATCCTACATCCTACAACCTACAACACAACTGATAATATTTATACGTTACAATGTTTAATCCAGAAATACCTATCAAGGCGAGGTGGCAGATTCTATTGTTTATTTGTGGACTTTAAGAAAGCCTTTGATTCTATAAATAGAAAACTTCTCTGGTATATACTATTAAAGAATGATATTCATGGATGATTTCTTAATGTGCTAAAGAATATGTACTACAAATTAATGTCTGCTGTCCGAATAACCAACACCTCAATCTCTGAATACTTTGACTGTCTTAGCGGAGAACGACAAGGATGTGTCTTCAGCCCCTTTTTGTTCACGATGTTTATATCAGAATTACAGGTAATGCTAGAAAACGCAGAAATTAGAGGAATATTTGTTGGATCTGAATTTTTAGAAATATTCCTTTTGCTTTATGCTGACGATTTATGTATTTTCGATGACTGTTATTGGACTGCAAAGAAAATTGACATTCTAAACGACTACTGTATAACGTGGGGATTACAACATGGATAAAACAGAGATATTGTTTTTTCGAAACTGAGGTAGATTACGTTATTATGAAAAATGGTTCTTCAAGGAGCACAGTTAAAAACTTCTACATACTACAACTATCTTGGAATACTCTTCTCTACACGTCTGTCATGGACTAAATGTACAGAGAAACTATCGACCAAAGCAAACAAGGCATTATTTTCTATTAAGAAATTAATCTACATGTATCCAACAATTCCAGTTAATATTCTTTTTAAGCTCTTTGATACCAAAATGAAGCCAATTTTACTTTATGGTGCAGAAGTGTGGGGTTATCAAGAACGACAGTTAATATACAAATTTCATACAAATTTCTGTAAATATGTTCTTGGCGTAGGTAAACATGTTTCTAGCAATGCTATATTAGCAGAGTGTGGTTATATATTGTATAAGTGTTGATTATTATGTTGAATGTGTACGTTACTGGTGTATATTACTTCATATGTCTGAAGACAGGTATCCTGAACAGTATTATATTTTGATGAAAAATCTCGACTCAACTGGTAGATATACTTGGGCATCATATGTAAAAGGTTTGTTAAACATCAACGGGTTTGGATTTGTGTGGTTTAGTCATGACGTTGGCAATATTAATCATTTTATATCCAATGTCATTTTAGAAAGTGATGAAATGTAACATGCTTATATCCATGTTCAAACAGAGGCTTATTGATGTAAAGGGACCAAGCATATTGAGTAGAATTAATGAATCATCACATTTACATTTAGCTTACTACGAGACCATTAAATCTTTATTAGATGTAGAGTTTTATGTTTCAAATGTACATTTTAAAGAATAAAGACGATATTTATGCTTACTTAGAATTCATCACCTACCCCTTCTTTGTAATGTAAGACGAAAAGATGATAGTTATGCCTCAACAATATGTAAAATGTGTAACAATAACATCCCAGAGGATGAATTACATTTTCTTTTTGTCTGTGATGCATATGTAAGGTAATGTAGTATATATTTACCAGATTTTGATCAATGTCCAACTATCATTAAGTTAAAATTTTTTATTGCAATGTAATGATATGTATGTGCAGTTTATTAAGCATGCCCTCGTGATCAGATCAAATGTGTGTAAATAATGTGTGACCGTGTATATTGCCTTGTCTAAAATGGTATTTTGTATGATTGTACATGGGCCGATGACCTACTTACAGAAAAATAAATTCATATTATTCATATCATATAACCCTGCTGATTCTATGTTGTCAGAACTGACCCTCACCTCCTTGTTCAACAAGAAGTCTGCCAGTGCCACTGTGAGGAACGGCGTCCTTTGCCTCCTAGGTTGGTATGCATGGCACATTTCTTCTTGATAGGTGGATGTCAATAAGAATGTTTATAATGTTTGTGTGATATGTAATTGGTGTTGCTCTTGTACTTGAGGGGAGGTGGGGCAGCCTTGTCGTTAAAGCGTTGGCCCAGCCTTGTGGTTAAAGCGTTGGCTCGTCAGGCTGAAAACCCTTGTTCGAATCCCCACATGGTACAATGTGTGAAGCCCATTTCTGGTGTCCTCCGCCGTTAGGAATATTCTTAAGCCATACCCACTCACTGTTATTAAAATCGTGTTTGCTGCATATAATGAAACCATTAGAATCCTGAGTATATTAGTTACATGTGCCGTAAGTGTTTTGGATAAGCTCACCTTTGTCGTAAAGCGTGTTCATCAGCAACACGGTGAGGTGAGCGATCTTGACTGACTTTCTGTTATCTGTTCCAGAATCTACAACTGTCAGCAGTTGCCCACAACGTAAGAAGACATTTATCGTATCTTATCATTGTTATACACTGCAACGAAGAGGGATGTGGATATAGGAAGTTGGATGTGGATATAGGAAGGATAGGGGGGTATAAGAAAGTGGGATGTGGATGTAGGGAGTGGGATGTGGATGTAGGAAGTGGGATGTGGATATAGGAAGTGGGATGTGGATGTAGGAAGTGGGAGTGGGATGTGGATGTAGGAAGTGGGATGTGGATATAGGAAGTGGGATGTGGATGTAGGAAGTGGAATGTGGATATAGGAAGTGGGAAGTGGAAGTGGGATGTAGGGAGTGGGATGTGGATGTAGGGAGTGGGATGTGGATGTAGGGAGTGGGATGTGGATGTAGGAAGTGGGATGTGGATGCAGGGAGTGGAATGTGGATATAGGAAGTGGAATGTGGATATAAGAAAGTAGGATGTGGATATAAGGAAGTAAATATAGGAGTGAGTTTAGTTTTACGCCGCACTCAACAATATTGCAGCTATATGGCGGTGGTCTGTATATAATCGAGTCTGGACCAGACAATTCAGGGATCAACAGCATTAACATCGATCTACGCAATTGGGGTACGATGACATGTTTCAACCAAGTCAGTGAGCCTGACCACCCGATCCCGTTAGTCACCTCTTTCGACAAGCATGGGTTACTGAAGACCAATTCTAACCCGGACCTTCACGGGTGCGTGGATATAGAAAGTGGGATGTGCATATAAGAAAGTGGAATGTGGATATAGAAAGTGGAATGTGGATATAGAAAGTGGAATGTGGATATAGAAAGTGGAATGTGGATATAGAAAGTGGGATGTGGATATAGAAAGTGGAATGTGGATATAGAAAGTGGAATGTGGATATAGAAAGTGGAATGTGGATATAGAATGTGGATATAGAAAGTGGAATGTGGATATAGAAAGTGGAATGTGGATATAGAAAGTGTGATGGGATATAGAAAGTGTAATGTGGATATAGAAAGTGTGATGGGGATACAGGAAGTGGGATGTGCATATAAGAAAGTGGAATGTGGATATAGAAAGTGGAATGTGGATATAGAAAGTGGAATGTGGATATAGAAAGTGTGATGGGGATATAGGAAGTGGGATGTGCATATTGAAAGTGGAATGTGGATATAGAAAGTGGAATGTGGATATAGAAAGTGGAATGTGGATATAGAAAGTGTGATGTGGATATAGAAAGTGTGGTGGGGATATAGAAAGTGTGATGGGGATATAGAAAGTGTGATGGGGATATAGAAAGTGTGATGGGGATACAGGAAGTGGGACGTGGTTATAAGAAAGTGGAATGTGGATATAGAAAGTGGGGCACGTGGATATAAGAAAGTGGGAAGTAGAAATAGGAAACTGGATGTGGATGTGGATATAGGATGTGGGATGTGGATACAGGAAGTGGGATGTGGGTATAGGAAGTTGGAAGGGATACAAAAGTTGGGTGGGGTTGGGTGGGAGTAAAAGGAAGTGGCAGTGAGATATAGAAAGGGTGTTATGTTTTCACCTTTCATTTCCGGAAATAAGATCAAGACCGTTTAATATATTTTCCACATTTTGCTCAAATATCGGTCTATCCGTGACCCTGTACCTTAAGGAATTAAGTTTTCTTAATAGATTGACTTTGGTACAGAGTGCAGTGGTCGCTTCGGGAGCATAACTTAAGACCCTAGAATATTCCTCAAACAAACAGATGTAAGCCTAGCCACGAACTGGTGCCATTTGTTTATTAGGACTTGGGATAATATTTCTTTGCCGATTTCCATGACAACTAATTTCAATCAGCGAAGAGTTCCTTTCTTAGGTACAACTAATGGTCCATGTATCGTCAATCAGTCAGTACGCTGCTAATATTCTATGGGCATATTTAGATTCCATCTAAACAAATGAATTCCAGTACATCTGATAATAACTGTCCTGTTGTCATCTCAAAGCAATGTAATAGGTGCTGGTGTGTGGTCCAGTGCATAGAGCTCAGGTCACAAATGAGTTGAAGTTGAGCGCGGAGGGTCTTTGGATGAGTGACTTGACTTCTGAGAGTTTCTAGGACTTCAGTCCTGCCCAACTGAGAGACTAGATATGGTACCAATGTCGTTAGAGGTGACTTGCAGGGTCTGGTAGTTGCCGCACCTCATCGTATCCCAATTGCGTAGATAATGGCCATGATGTCAATCATTGTATTGCCTTGTCCCGGCTCGATTATTTACAGACGGCCGTCAGATAGCTGAATATTGTTGAGTGCTTCGTTACCTAATAAACAAACAAAACAAAACATTCAAGAAATAGTCGAAAAACTAATATGTAGGTATCAAGTTACGAAGTGAATCAAACCAACTGGTAGAGAAACTGGGAAACTAACATTGGGTAAACTGGCCAGCTAACGTGGGGTAAACTGGCCAGCTAACGTGGGGTAAACTGGCCAGCTAACGTGGGGGAAACTGGCCAGCTGACATGAGGGAAAGTGGCCAGCTAACATAGGGGAAACTGGCCAGCTAACATGGAGGGAAAACTGGCCAGCTAACATGGGGGAAACTGGCAAGCTAACGGGGGTGGGGGGACTGGGCAGCTAACATGGGGAAAACTGGCAAGCTAACGGGGAAACTGGGCAGCTAAGAATGGAGGGAAAACTGGCCAGCTAACATGGGGGAAACTGGCAAGCTAACAAGGGGACTAGGCAGCTAACATGGGGGGAAACTGGCAAGCTAACAAGGGGGATGGACTGGGCAGCTAACATGGGGGAAACTGGCAAGCTAACAAGGGGGACTAGGCAGCTAACATGGGGAAAACATGGCTGGGAAGCTAACATGGGGGATGGACTGGGCAGCTAACATGGGGAAAACCTGGCAAGCTAACAAGGGGGGGACTGGGAAGCTAACATGGGGAAACCTGGGAAGCTAACAAGGGGGAAACCTGGGAAGCTAACAAGGGGGGGGGAAAACTGGCAAGCTAACAAGGGGGGAAAACTGGCAAGCTAACAAGGGGGAAACTGGCAAGCTAACATGGGGGAAACCTGGGAAGCTAACATGGGGGAAACCGGGGAAGCTAACATGGGAGAAACCTGGCCAGCTAACATGGCGAGTACTGGGCAGCTATCTTGGTGGAAAACTCTTGTGCAACTACTAGGCACACAGAGTTAATGTTGCTTTCCTATCCTTACGAGGTACCCATTCAAGGGACAGTACTTTGTCCATGTTTACTGCACGTTGCTGTACCCGCAACTAGGTGTTGGCACGTATTCATGTGGCCGTTCTTAGTACCCACAGACCCAGTCTACCCCAAGTTCACCGACTTATCTTTACATTTCTGCATCCTCAAGGATGGCTAATGTTTCACCTCTGTTGTTTTTCCCAGCCTGGAAGGAACACGGTGGGTCCTGCTACCTGTACACGGGCAAGACGGCGCCCCACTACGACACCGTGGCTGCTCTGTGTAACCAGTAAGTCCTACTGTAGTAGTCTGTGGACGCTGGGCAGTGAGCTAGCCTTGTGGTTAAAGCGTTCGCTCGTCACGCCGAAGACCCGGGTTCGATTTCCCTACATGGGTACAATGCGTGAAGCCCATTTCTTGTTACCCCCGCCGTGATGTTGCTTGGATATTGCTCAAAGCGGCGTAAAATTGAACTCTCACTATGTGGCCGCTCAGTGTAACCAGTAACACTGCGAAAAAAATGTCCGTGACCGCTCTGTGTAACTAATACGTCACACTTTATTTAGTACTTTAGTGGTAACTTTGTGTAACCAGTAAAACCTTACGTAGTAAAGTCCCCGCCTTCGCTTGGAGTGAAGTAAGGCAATACATGAAGTAACCATAGTTAGGAACACTGTCACACTTGATACTTTTTCAAAATAATAACAAATAATCACTTTCTAGCTGACTGATTCACTTCAAGAAATTTACAGATACTGGTTCTAGATGTTAAATGGGAAACTTGTAAGATTTGAATTGTTTTGTACACTTTGTATCAATACACCCTTATTACTGTATTATTGCCATGGTCAACAGGGGCGACAGTAACATGGTGACAGTCCACAGCAAGGCTGAGAACGACTTCGTCTACAACATGGTGAAGGACTTCAACAACGGAAATGGGACGGATGTCCTCATTGGTAGCTACAACACTTTTACACTGTATTACATTCAGTCGGGATATCTGGGATTGGTTCCAACACAGCCGCCTGGGGAATATACTACATTCACTATCACCAACACATGTCCTCATTGGTAGGTACAACACTTTTACACTGTATTACATTCAGTCGGAATATCTGGGATTGGTTCCAACACAGCCGCCTGGGGAATATACTACATTCACTATCACCAACACATGTCCTCATAGGTAGCTACAGCACTTTTACACTGTATTACATTCAGTCGGGATATCTGGGATTGGTTCCAACACAGCCGCCTGGGGAATATACTACATTCACTATCACCAACACATGTCCTCATAGGTAGCTACAGCACTTTTACACTGTATTACATTCAGTCGGGATATCTGGGATTGGTTCCAACACAGCCGCCTGGAGAATATACTACATTCACTATCACCAACACATGTCCTCATAGGTAGCTACAACACTTTTACACTGTATTACATTCAGTCGGGATATCTGGGATTGGTTCCAACACAGCCGCCTGGGGAATATACTACATTCACTATCACCAACACATGTCCTCATTGGTAGCTACAACACTTTTACACTGTATTACATTCAGTCGGGATATCTGGGATTGGTTCCAACACAGCCGCCTGGGAGAATATACTACATTCACTATCACCAACACATGTCCTCATAGGTAGCTACAACACTTTTACACTGTATTACATTCAGTCGGGATATCTGGGATTGGTTCCAACACAGCCGCCTGGAGAATATACTACATTCACTATCACCAACACATGTCCTCATTGGTAGGTACAGCACTTTTACACTGTATTACATTCAGTCGGGATATCTGGGATTGGTTCCAACACAGCCGCCTGGGGAATATACTACATTCACTATCACCAACACATGTCCTCATTGGTAGCTACAGCACTTTTACACTGTATTACATTCAGTCGGGATATCTGGGATTGGTTCCAACACAGCCGCCTGGGGAATATACTACATTCACTATCACCAACACATGTCCTCATAGGTAGCTACAGCACTTTTACACTGTATTACATTCAGTCGGGATATCTGGGATTGGTTCCAACACAGCCGCCTGGGGAATATACTACATTCACTATCACCAACACATGTCCTCATTGGTAGCTACAACACTTTTACACTGTATTATATTCAGTTGGGATATCTGGGATTGGTTCCAACACAGCCGCCTGGGGAATATACTACATTCACTATCACCAACACATGTCCCTCATAGGTAGCTACAGCACTTTTTACACTGTATTACATTCAGTCGGGATATCTGGGATTGGTTCCAACACAGCCGCCTGGAGAATATACTACATTCACTATCACCAACACATGTCCTCATTGGTAGCTACAGCACTTTTTACACTGTATTATATTCAGTCGGGATATCTGGGATTGGTTCCAACACAGCCGCCTGGGGAATATACTACATTCACTATCACCAACACATGTCCTCATAGGTAGCTACAGCACTTTTACACTGTATTACATTCAGTCGGGATATCTGGGATTGGTTCCAACACAGCCGCCTGGGAATATACTACATTCACTATCACCAACACATGTCCTCATAGGTAGCTACAACACTTTTACACTGTATTACATTCAGTCGGGATATCTGGGATTGGTTCCAACACAGCCGCCTGGGGAATATACTACATTCACTATCACCAACACATGTCCTCATAGGTAGCTACAGCACTTTTACACTGTATTACATTCAGTCGGGATATCTGGGATTGGTTCCAACACAGCCGCCTGGAGAATATACTACATTCACTATCACCAACACATGTCCTCATAGGTAGCTACAACACTTTTACACTGTATTACATTCAGTCGGGATATCTGGGATTGGTTCCAACACAGCCGCCTGGGGAATATACTACATTCACTATCACCAACACATGTCCTCATAGGTAGCTACAGCACTTTTACACTGTATTACATTCAGTCGGGATATCTGGGATTGGTTCCAACACAGCCGCCTGGGGAATATACTACATTCACTATCATCAACACATTTTGTACTTCATATCGTGAGACCGCCTCCGTGGTGTAGTGGTTAGAGCGTCCGCCTGGAGAGCGGAAGGTCGCTGGTTCAATCCCCAACCGCGTCATACCAAAAGACGTTAAAATATGGTACTTGTTTGTTCCAGCCTGGCTCTCGGCATTAATGGGTACAACAAGGACTGGTCGGTTCGGAGTCAGTATAATGTGTCTGAGTGGGGTATTCATGCTTCACTGCGGCGTGGTATCTCTGTGGGCTAGCGCTATAAAACCAGCTTAATCCGGGCTAGTACAAGCAGCCGCACATACACATAGACACGCATACACGTCGTCATATGAGCGAAATATTCTCAAGCACGACGTAAAACCCAATTTCACCTCACCTCACTTCATATCGTGATTTATTACAGTTATCCAAGTATATCTCGTATGCAAGGACATAGGAGGGGTGTTGTATAGAGGTGGGGGTTTATATACAACGGAGGGGGAATGACTGAGTTAGTCAGTTAGTCTGGCACCTCACTGTGTATCAGTTACACCATACAGCACAATTCATGTGGATGGTATCGTGGACACTTACCACTTTGTGGAATCCCTCAATTACGGGTATGCTGCTGAGGGGCTTGCATTGATCGGGAGGGTGGGGGGGATGTTAGGATTCGAACTCCCAAACTAGATTTAAGTCGGGTAAGGGTAACTCTGCGTTATCAGCAACACATATATTACGTAATATTGCGCAGATAGCAACAACATTTTCCATGTATATTTCGAACCACCTACTTAGTATTCTGGAAAAAAACACCAGCTCCAGTGTTTCCAAGGAGACATCGGTCCTGCCAATGAGTTCCTGCGTTCGGGGTTTTAACTTAACAAATACACATACTACTTCAATTATAATAACATGTTTGCAAAGCTAAAGCTAAAAGACGGCATATATAGTGATGAGATATATTGAATGGAGCAGTGTTATTGGAAAGACTTAATCATTAGAATTATTACAAACGTATACACGGGAAGATCAAGGAATATACGCATATACATGTACATACGACAGAACCAATCCCGTAATCATTAGAAATCTCTGTTGAAAGCAGAGTCCATTTGTACAAATCCGACTAGTTGTAAATACGGATCGATTTTCGGATGAACTTGTGGTGTGTGTTCTAGTGGCATCACAAGAAGCTATTGGTCGTGGATCGCTGCATTTCACTGGTGTCATCCTGATCTTTCCGCTCTCTCCCACCCCACACAACTCCCCACCACTCCCCCGCTCTAATGGATTTTCAGAAATAGCAAATCGCCAGCTTCGTTGTAGTCAGTTCTTCATGCCGTATTCTCCGCCCGGAGAGCGGAAGGTCGCGGGTTTGATCCCCGACCGCGTCATACCAAAAGACGTTTAAATATGGTACTTGTTGGTCCCTGTCTGGCGCTCGGCATTAATGGGTACAACAAGGACTGGTCGGCTCGGAGTCAATATAATGTGTCTGGAGTGGGCTAGCATTATAAAACCAGCTTCAGTCTGGGCTAGTACAAGCAGCCGCACATACACACGCATGCACGTCGTCATACGAGCGAAATATTATCAAGTACGACGTTAATCCCCATTTCCCCTCACCTCATGCCGTGTTCCAGTGTGTTCCCAGGTTTTGAGTTTTAAGTTGTTGTCTTGTTACCAGGCTACCGGTACCGCAGTGTGTTCGACAAGTTCACCTGGCTGGACGGATCTGACCCCGTCTACGAGAACTGGAGTGACGGACATGGCATGTCTGGACTGACCGGTGGCTACTGCACGAAGATATCCTATTCTGGAAGCAAGATCACTTGGAAGAACACCCCATGTGTGGATGAAAACTACGCGGTCGTATGCAAGATAACGCGTTCAACTACAGCTTGACAGTAAACGTGTGTATTCTTGGCAGTAAACGTGTGTATTCTTGGCAGTAAACGTGTGTATTCTTGGCAGTAAACGTGTGTATTCTTGGCAGTAAACGTGTGTATTCTTGACAGTAAACGTGTGTATTCTTGACAGTAAACGTGTGTATTCTTGACACTAAATACTGTACACATTAGTGTGTATTGTGTACCGTTTAGCGAAGTTATTTACTTGAGTTAGCGTTAGCGTGATAGCCGTGTGATTAAAGACTGACTGGGTTTGTTTTTACGCCGCTTTTAGCAATATTCCAGCTTCATCACGGCGGGTAACACCAGAAATGGGCTTCACACATTGTACCCATGCGGGGATTCGAACCCGGGTTTTCGGCGTGACGAGCCAACGCTTAAACCACTGGGCTACCCCAACACCCCGTGTGGTTTACAAGTGGAAGTATAGCAGAAGACACGACGTACCAAGCCTATGGCCACATATTCCCCAGGGCGGTGGGGTAGCCTAGTGGTTAAAGTTTCGGCTCCTCGTCACGCCGAAGACAACAACCCCCGTGGTATTGCTGGAATATTATCAAAAGTGATGTTAAACTAAACTCACTCACTCCTATGTGTTGATTTCACACTTTTGAATGTGTCTCATACTCAAGATCTAAACGGGTGTGAAAATAGAAAGAACATCTCTTCCAAGATCTAGACAATATTATTTTTATATAAATATCTTCAAAGTCCTTCAACTCAAACCCAACAAAAACGTCCCATAATGATCCGAAGATGATCAGAAAGGAAAAGCCCTTTTTCCTCTAATCCTGTTGGAATCGAACTTGAATAATAAATAGCATTCCAACCAAACCACGCACTGTCAAGTGTCACTTGTTCTAAACATAATACATGAACCAGTTTGTATGATAGTTCAGATCAAATATACTTCTACTTGCAAACAACTCCCCAAAAGCCCTTTAAACCCGACAATTTGAATTAATGCTGCCTACCACTTGAGGAGGAGATATCGCTCCATAGTTTGCATCTCCTAATATGGAAGAAGCTACCGTCACATAACGGCCTTGACTCAGCTAATAGAGTTGACCGTGAGGACGGAGGCTAACGCTGTCTCTTCCCAGCATCCCCCGTGTGGCTTCCACCATCCTCGCCCCTCATCCTCTTGACACTGAGGAGACAGTTCTCCGTGGCTATATTGGTCACCCTGGCATTGTTTTGTTTTCATCGCTGTCTTGCAGCATCGAATATTGAAAATAATCGAAAAACAGTTCAGAGCTGTCTCCGTTTTTAGCCATTCCTTTTCATTTCGATATCAGCAGGCTACGCAAAGCGTGATTTGAACAGATCATTTCTCTCTATTTTTAACCAAACTCTCTTTTGTCTACTTGTGCTTCGTGTGTGTGTGGCCATCCGATATAGGAATATGCTGACACAGATAGCCTCTGTAATATTTCAAGTGATTGTGTTTAAACAAACTTCGTGTGGATACAAAATGAAACCACTGTCGAAGTGTTTATTGCATACAGAAATATGTACCTAAAACGCCGTTTAATTATATTTAATCAGTCGAAGAATATTGGCCATGTCTGAAATTCTATGGATGTTGCTTTCTTCGTTGTACAACTTGTATGTGTAAAGCCTTACTCCTTCGAGCGAAAGGCCTTTGAACGTGTTTATGACCGCTGTCACTATTTGGGCAGGATACGCTCGGCTATTTTCAAACACATGGTATCATCACTATTTTAGCTTTTCGCAGAGATTTCTTATGGACGTGGAAAAGGTTTTGTCGCTTTTATTTTTATTTATAGAAAATAAAGTTTGACACCATCACCCCACCCACCCCCACGCCCCAGCCCACACGCATTTCTTTACGTGCATCATATCCACGGGTCCCTCAAGACAGGTATGTCTACCACAAAAACTGTTCATTTCTATTTTTCATTTACGGGTAACCCTTATTGAGTACGTTCAAGTTGTAAAAGACCGTGAAGTTCCTGGTTAGGATATTGGCCTTCAGTAACCAATGCTTGTAACAGGCGACTAACGGGATCGGATGGTCAGGCTCACTGACTTGGTTGACACATGTCATCGGTTCCCATTTGCGCAAATCGATGCTCATGCTGTTGATCACTGGATTGTCTGGTCCGAACTAGGTTATTTGCAGACCGCCGCCATATAGCTGGAATATTGCTGAGTGCGGCGTAAAACTAAACTCACATAATCAAGTTATAAAAACAATTATCTAGTATAAATATATTTGAGTTTGATTTGAATGTTTTTAATTTTAAACAATGTTTTTAAATAAAAGGGGCAATAGGTGTCATCACGGAGCAAAACATCAACTTTCACGATCTTACCATACATATTCACATGAACGGAATCAGGTTGATGTCAAAACATTTGTATTGCCAATGGGTAGAGGGGCCGTTCATATCAGTGTCGTATATTTAGCTTTGCTAATTCAAAAGTAAAATTGACCCGGGAAGATCCGGGGTAAAATAAGTGTCCAGCAACCCATGCTTGCCACAAAAGGCGACTATGCTTGTCGTAAGAGGCGACTAACGGGATCGGGTGGTCAGGCTCGCTGACTTGGTTGACACATGTTACCGGTTTCCAATTGCGCAGATCGATGCTCATGCTGTTGATCACTGGATTGTCTGGTCCAGACACGATCATTTACAGACCGCCGCCATATAGCTGGAATATTGCTGAATGCGGCGTAAAACTAAACTCACTCAAAAGTACCCTCCTCCGTGGTGTAGTGGTTAGAGCATCCGCCCGGAGAGCGGAAGGTCGCGGGTTTGATCCCCGATCGCGTCATACCAAAAGACGTTAAAATATGGTACTTGTTGGTCCCTGCCTGGCGCTCGGCATTAATGGGTACAACAAGGACTGGTCGGCTCAGAGTCAGTATAATGTGTCTGAGTGGGGTAGTCATGCTTCACTGCGGCATGGTATCTCAGTGGGCTAGCACTATAAAACCAGCTTCAGTCTGGGCTAGTACAAGCACCCGCACATACATACACACACGCATGCACGTCGTCGTCATATGAGCAAAATATTCTCAAGCACGACTTTAAACCCAATTCCACCACCATCACTCAAACGTAAAATTACCCAGTTGTGTGCAACACAAATCCAACTGTGTATAAATCATGTGGAATCCAATATCGGATAATAAAATAGATATCTAAATTCGAAAATGTTGTTTATGTGATGGGGTGGAGTAGCCTAGTGGTTAAAGCGTTTGCTCGTCTCGCCGAAGACCCGGTTTGGATTCCCCACATGGGTACAATGTGTGAAGCCCATTTCTGGTGCCCCCCAAACCCAAACCCCCAAACCCCACCCCAAACCCCACCCCGTGATATTGCTGGAATATTGTTAAAAGCGGCGTAAAACTAAAATCACTCACTCACTCCATCGCATACATCGTATAAAACATCCATGACACGAAGGAGTAAGATTGAACAAAAAGTTGTACAATTAAGACGTTGACATCCATAGAATTTCAGACGTGGTCAGGGGAGGCGGGGTAGCCTAGTGGTTAAAGTGTTCGCTCGTCACGCCGAAGACCCGGGTTCGATTCCCCACATGGGTACAATGAGTGAATCCCATTTCTGGTGTCCCCGCCGTGATATTGAAGGAATATTGCTTTAAGGGGCGTTAAGCCAAACTCTCTTTCACTCAGACGTGGTCAATGTTCTTTGACTGATAAAATATAATTAAACGGCGTTTTTGATACATATTTCTGTGATAAATATCAATATGATTGATATCGTATGGATCATGTGCCGACAATCACTGTCCAAGTACATGCATGTCTGGTCAGTTAATTCGTTTAACCCTAATGTAATTATGGTAACGTAGGCAGTCGGCCCGTGATTACAATAATGATCATCCGTGAGTAGAAAGACATATATGATTTGAATAACGAATGCAGCTTGACATGTCCTGTGTAGCGTCAACATTTGTAGACAATGTTATCAAGTTTTGTATAGGACAGTATGTTATAGTACTTATCATTAATATAATTCTTTCTTATTTCTCAATAAAGGCGGTTGGGTAGCCTAATGGTTAAAGCGTTCGCTCGTCACGACCAAATACCCGGGTTCGATTCCCCACATGGGTACAATGTGTGAAATGGCTGGCATCCCCCCGCCTTGATATCGCTGGATTATTGCTAAAAGCGGCGTAAAACCAAACTCACTCACTTATTTCACTATAGCATTTACATAAAGTGACAGATGTCTATATTCAACACAAAATAACCAAATCCGTTGTTCTTTTAGCTCTTTATAAAACGCCCAAGTCAGTAAGACATACAGCTTAATCGAGGTATAGAAATTCTAAACTTGTATACTCTCATACAGTTAGATATTAAAATATTAACGATCATGTTGACGTACGTAGTACAATACAAGAAACATTGATCTTATTGACTGCTGACGGCATGAACAACGTCAAGCGACACCATAGGCCTATACATATAACGCCAACGTGTGTCGTTACATATTCTCATTGACTTATTTCTGAATGAGACACTTTTAATGAGTTACTGACGTAATATCATGATTGTGACGATTCATTGTGTGATATGATTTTGATCGCTTACACGACTCAGTTTCAAAACTGACATCTTAAGAACTTCTTTTTGTAAACCCTAGTATCAGTTTATTGGTGTTTCGGGGCGGTGGGGTAGCCAAGTGGTTAAAGCGTTCGCTTGTCACACCTAAGCCCGGGTTCGATTCCCCACATGAGTTCAATGTGTGAAGACCATTTCTTGTGATGTTACTGGGATATTGCTAAAAGAGGCGTAAAACCACATTCACTCATTTGTGTTTCTTTGATACATTCGAAAGTATTCCATACTGAATTATCAAACAACCAATTACTAGTTCCTAAACGATTATGACCATCATAGAAAACGATTAACATTTGTAAGAAGATGAGCAGTGAATGTTAGCTCTCCCCCCTCGGTGGTGATCACCTCTTTTGTATCCACCCGTTGGCCAGTCAAGTTGCTTGGAAGGCAGATTGTTAGATAAAGGTTCGATGATTATCAGTTCGTGGTGTGCTTTTGC